ACAATAACATCTTTCCCCTTGATAAAATTCACCAAACATTCTCTTTTTTTCCCGTTTTAAATCCTTGATCTCGGGAATCGTTGCCAACACAGAATGTATGTCTCTTCGCTGATTGGCTGGTGCCTGGACTTGCACTTCTGGGGTTTTTGCAAACTGTCTAGTGTCAAACTCAAACTGACAGAGGCCAAAATTAAAAACTGGGACTAAGTCGTGGGCCAAACTATTTATTTATTGAAAAATTTCAACAACATCTGCATGTTTTCTCTTCTTTTGAGATGTGTAATGTAAAACCTTTTCTTATTAAAATAAATGTTTAATAATATTTTTGCTTAAACATTGAATCCAGAACAAGCAAAATATAAAATAACAATAACATTTTAAATAAATAATGTCTCTATAGTCGATCTGTAGCTGGTGGTTCAGCTCTAATATATATTTGATATGATCTCGTGGGCCAAATATAATTATTTCACGAGCCAAATTTGGCCCCCAGGCCTGAGTTTGACATGTCTGGTCTAGTGTATTCTGATTCCTGACATAGTCACTGGAGAGAAATGAAACTGAGCGGAGGCACTAGGTTGCGTCTAATGTTTTTCGTATTTTACTTAACAGTTCCAAAAAGCAGTTCAAGAACAAAAATCAATCAATAAAATCAAATAAATAAAAAATTGTGAGACCAAAATTTGAAATGTATTTATGTGTCTTAAAATCTTGTCTTGTCTCTTTCTCCTGGACCCAGTCTCGTGGAAATGTTGTCTCGTCCCATTTCTTATTGTATAATGAGGTGTAGACAGTGCACAGCTGACTTTTTTTTTTTTGACCTCAAGATTTGTTTATAAAACATATCTGTCCTGGGAAAAGGAAACTGTGCTCAAATACAAGGGAAAAATCAGGAAATGTCTCTCAGCAAAACACCAAAAGTCAAAATTTTCCCACCAAAAAACCTCAGGCAGCCCACCCTTCAGTTTTGGCGAGACCTTTCCTGTCATGTTTAACCGTGGAGACAGTTTTTAATCATGCGTTTGGCCCACCCCTGCGTGTCAGAGCGTAGACCCCGGGAATCGCAGCGCTGCGATTGGCCGGAGAATTGGAATCCTGTCAGAGAACCGCTCCATGTCGTTTATCATCCGTCCTGTGGGCTTTGTACTGGGGACGCTGCACCATACTGCCCCCTGTAGGCCTCCTGACCACCAGGAGCAACAGCTGAGCCCCGGAAAATGAGGTCAGGCAAACTTCAGAGGACTTTACACCATTCTTTCATGTAATAAGGGAATTTACTAAAACTTCTACTCGATATATGGTGTCCCAAAAAATCTGACATAAATTTTCAGGTCAATAATTTTACCAATTCTTGTTGAAATAGCCTCAAATTTTCACAGAATGTACAGAAACAGATCAAAATTTTATATTTAAAGTTTGATTTTTGTTGTGTTTTCAGGTTGAGCCGTTCACTCCCAAAGTCATTTTGTGTCACCCAAGACTGTGCAACCTTCAATGAAAAATTTGAAAAAACTTCAACAAATATCAAACAAATTGGGGCTTGGTACCAAAAAATTAAAAAGCAATTTGTGTGTATTTGTGCGAGTAGATTCTAAAACGCAAAATGACTTCTCTTTGGGAGTGAACAGCTCAACCTGAAAACACAACAAAAATAAAACATTACACATAAAATTTGAGGTTATTTCAACAAGAACTGCCAAAATTACTGACCTGTGAAATGCGTAATAAAGTCGTAAATATACAGTATTTTTGTATCGTTTTTTTTTTTTTTTGTCCCAGTGCAGATTAAAAACAGCTCTGGGAATCACATTAAGACCGTTGTGAGCGATCTGCGTCTGATTATAAAGCGTTTTACTGTCTACGAACCAGGAATTGTGCTGTTAGCTTGCTAGTTGTTATTGTTGTTGGCGTTACCGTGAAGGCAAAACTCCACTGTGGTCTCTGAAAGTTGTGACAAGCGCTCAGAAGCTCAATGTTGGAACACTTCAAACTGTTTAAAATGAATTAATTCTGTTTTTTTTTTTTTTTACATTTTTAAGACCGTAAAAATCAGATACAGCACCTTTAATTTCTTATAGTTCAATTGAGGAGAGAAAATGAGACCGAGAGATATTGAGCATAGATCTTTAATTCTAAATATATTGTTGGGTGAGAACCTTAAGAAAGCAAACGCCAGACACAAACAACTTGAACTGCTTCCTTGATTTCATGACGACGGATACGTTTAATGCCATACTGTGGAACATTCTAGGCAAGGCAGTAACACGTCAATGGAAACAAGCAGGTGGCCCATGTTTGCTTTCTGCATCTACCATATTTTTCAGACTTCAGACAAATCTACAATGCGCCTTATGTATTAATTCTGGTTGTGCTCATTGACCTCGAACTGATTTTATGTGGTACACGGCGCTCAAAAATCTGTCAAAATGTTTTAGTACGACTTTGGTAAGCTACGAAGCCGCACCGTTTGATGGATTGTCAGAGCGTTACGGCTGCTGTAGTCAGGAGGAGTAAGTGAGTCGTGTCCTTTAGTCCGACGGAAGCTGAACCGCATGCAAATGAGCCATGTGGTTTTAAGTTTCATTGTGTTTTATTTATTTATTTTAATGAGACAGGGACAGCGCACCATTTTTACATTAAACTTTACCGGAGAGATGCATTGTACATCAGGTTGTAGCACCAATGCTGATTTCCACCTGTCGTCCCTGGACAGATTCATTGATTGATTGAATTTAACTGACCTTAGCTATTAACTGTTCTATCTGGAGACCTGTAGCATGTCTTGGGTTTCTGTAAAACGTAAACAAATGTGTGCAAAGCTGCATTAAACATATTATTACTCAGTGTATATTTGAGTCGTCCTCGTAGGAAATAAAAAAACAAACTTAAATCACCACATTCACATTCATAATCCACATTCACCAAGACAGAGAGGCAACGCCGGGCGAATTACGCCACGATCTGCCGATGGATCGTAGACACCTGGATGAAAGGATCAGTCTCAAGTGTCGTCCGTTTGTTTCACTCAATGCTTCTTATAATCCGGTGCGACTTAGTATGAAAACAGACGAGAGAAATCAACATTATTGATATTGCGCCTTATAATCCGGTGCGCTTTATAGTCCAAAAAATACGGTAAATTTTAAAGCGTTTTATTCTGACTGTGAGCGGGGTCGCCTCTCCACAGATCTGACCTGCAACTTGGTCTGGTTTAGTCTCAACCAAGAAAATCATTTATGACGGAAACTGTAGCAGAAAAGTTTCGCAATTCACGTTTAAACTGACAGAAAAAAAAAGGCGTCCTTGTGCGTAACTTGTCCCTCGGCTTGTGTTCTGTTTTTGGCACCTGTCCAGTCAAGATCCGTGGCAACAAAAAGACTAAAAATCCAGCGTGTTTCAGCCTTAGACGCTTCTCTGTACAAATCGGTGTCAGAGCGAGGGACGGGGACAGTGGGGAGGCTCCATCTGTACTCTGTCTTTTGTATTCTGCGCAGCTTTGCTTTTGAGCGGCCGATGTGACCTGTGTTCAAATCACGAAGCTGCAGAGACGGGCAGAGTTTGTGTGACTTCAAATACGCTTTTTTTTCTAGAAATACTCTTAAAAGGAGAGATCGAGGCAGGGTTAGAGCAGTGGTGTTGTTTCTGTAGTTTTACCGAAATCCTCCACATTCTCTTTCAGCATCTGACTTTTGAAACAGTTATAATGTGAAAGAGAAACTGTGATGGTTTTAAAATCATCAGGGTCAGAGTTTCTTTTCAGAGGTGCTTAAGACCTGGTTTAGTCCTGGTTTAGTCCTGGGTTAGACCTGGGTTACATTTGTTTTTTTCCTACACCTGCTTTAGTCATGCTTTTGTCTTGGTTTAGTCCTGATGTAGACCTGGTTTAGACCTACGTTAGACCTGGTTTAGTCCTTGGTTACACCTGCTTTAGTCCTGCTTTAGTCCTGGTTTAGTGCTGATGTAGACCTGGTATAAACCTGGTTAGTTCTAGGTGCTTTAGACCTGGGTTAGTTCCTTGGCGCTTTAGTCCTGCTTTAGCCTTGGTTTAGTCCTGGTTCAGTCCTGGTTCAGTCCTGGTGTAGACCTGGTATAGACCTGGGTTAGTCCTTGGTTACACCTGCTTTAATCCTGATTGAGTCCTGCTTTAGTCTTTGTTTAGTCCCTGTTTGGTCTTGATGTAGACCTGGTATAGACCTGGGTTAGTTCTTGGTACTTTAGTCCTGCTGTTTGTCTTGGTTTAGTCCTGGTTTAATCCTGATGTAGACCTGATGTAGTCCTGGTTTAGTCCTTGCTTACACCTGCTTTAATTCCGTTTTAGTCCTGTTTTAGTCCTGATGTAGAATTGATGTAGACTTGGGTTAGACCTGGTTTAGTTCTTGGTTACACCTGCTTTAGTCCTGCTTTAGTCTTTGTTTAGTCCTGATTTAGACCTGGTGTAGACCTGGTGTAGACCTGGGTTAGACCTGCTTTAGTCCTTGATTAAAGCTGCTTTAGTCCTGCTTTTGTTTTTGTTTAGTCCTGGTTTAGTCCTGATGTAGACCTGGGTTAGACCTGGGTTAGTCCTTGGTTAGTCCTTGGTTACACCTGCTTTAGTCCTCCTTTAGTCCTGGTTTAGTGCTGATGTAGGCCTGGTGTAGACCTGGATTAGACCTGGTTTAGTCCTTGGTTACACCTGCGTTAGTCTTGGTTTAGTCCTGGTTTAGTCCTGATGTAGACCTTAGTTACACATGCTTTAGTCCTGGTTTAGACCTGGTCTAGATCCTGGTTAGACCTGTTTTCTGTAAAATGATGCTGATGATGTGAATAATGTGGACTGAGGACTGCTGTGGTCCATCCAACCGATCGAGGTCTGATACAGGGAAGCGCTTGAGTGACCTCTAGTGGCCAAAACATGACATAGCAACAAAGACACTTACGAGTCTGTACTACTATTTGTGCGGCAATCTTTTAATTTTTTCCACCAAAAATGACGGCATACCTCCTCTCTCTCTCTTTTTTAGCTCTCCTGTCTTCCTGGTGTGAGGAGCTGGGTCGTCTTCTTCTCCTCCGTCACCAGAAGAACCGACAGAACGAGCCGCAGAAAGGCCCCATGCAGCCGCCCATGAGCTCCATGAAGCAGGGCCTGTCCCACGGGTGAGTGTCTGTACCACCACATTAATGCCATACCGCGGAACATTACACCCATGGAGACAAGTAGGTGCTGCCCCCCCCCCTTACGGAAAAGTTACAGATTGCACCTTTAATTGAACTGCATACAACCCAACCACCTCATAAACACACAAAACTTCAGGGTTCAACAACTTAGAGCGCAGGTGTCAAACCTGTGGCCCGGGGGCCAGATCAGGCCCTCCAAGACCTTTAATGTGGCCCTCGTCTGATTTTTTACTAAAATATTTTAATTATATTTTTTATTAAAATATTGTTAATTTTCTGTGGTGTTCATCACAGCAGCGTCTCCAGCGTCTCTGTACGTGGCCCCTCCCACCAGAGCAGCACAAATGAAGACTTGTCTCTTTCCAAACGCTCTTAAAGGACGATCGTTTTGACTGTTGACCGTGACACCCTCATCAGAAAAATGTCCAACATGAGAAAAGTGGAGCCGAGTGCAGGATTTTACAACAGAAATTTACTTATTCCTATTTCTACAAGTTAATTTTAAACAAGTTCATGTTAAAACATTGTGTTGAAATTGTATTTTTCTTCAAGTTTCAGGTTGTTCATAATATTATAATATTTTGTAAAAGAAAGAGTTCATCAATTAAAAAAGATTTCTGTAATAGATTTGTGTTTCTCTGCACAAATATTTGAACTTATTGTTATTTTTGGGGTTTATATGACATGAGTTTTCTGATCCGGCCCCTTTGGGATCAGTTGGATACGGCCCCCGGACCAAAATGAGTTTGATACTCCTGGACTAGAGAATTCATGAGAAGTATTTAAACAGAGGATATGTACAATTATTATTTCAAATTTCATAAACATGACTTATCAGTGTGGACATGTTCAAATCAAATCGAGCTTTTACTGACACGTCTAATTCTGATTTACACTTAATTACAAAAACACGGGAGATGATGGCCAAGGTGTTTGTTGTAACGTCACAAACCAGCAGTGTTGGGGAGTAACAGATTACATGTACTGGAGTTACGTAATCAGAGTATAAATTATGAGTAACTGTATTCAGTTACAGTTACTGTTTCAGTGAGTGGTAATTGGATTACAGTTACTTTGTTGAAATAAATGGATTACAGGGCGGGATTTTCCTGTTTTCTCATTTCAGGCTGTATCCTCAGGTCTAAACTAGATCTAAACTAGATCTAAACCAGGACTAAACCAGGACTAAACCAGGTAAACCAGGTCTAAACCAGGACTAAACCAGGTCTAAACCAGGACTAAACCAGGTCTAAACCAGGACTAAACCAGGTCTAAACCAGTCTAAACCAGGACTAAACCAGGTCTAAACCAGGTCTAAACCAGGACTAAACCAGGACTAAAACCAGGTCTAAACCAGCACTAAACCAGGTCTAAATCAGGACTAAATCAGATCTAAACCAGGTCTAAACCAGGACTAAACCAGGACTAAACCAGGTCTAAATCAGGACTAAATCAGGACTAAACCAGGTCGAAACCAGGACTAAACCAGGTCTAAACCAGGACTAAACCAGGAAACTAGGACTAAACCAGGTCCAGGTCTAAACCAGGACTAAACCAGGTCTAAACTAAACCAGGTCTAAAACAGGACTAAACCAGGTCTAAACCAGGTCTAAACCAGGACTAAACCAGGAAATCTAAACCAGGACTAAACCAGGTCTAAAACAGGACTAATCCATGCTGTGGACGCATCTCCTCCTCCTTGTATCAGTAATATTTTTAATTTGGTTAAGTAAAGTCTGGGGTTTTTATTTTCTTTTAGCAGACAAAATTTTTTATGTTACGATATCCAAGTCTTTGCTTCTCTACAGCAAATCAAGTAATCCAAAGTATTCAGATTACATTACTCACTTTAAGTAATTTAATGGATTACGTTACAAACTACATTTTGGGGTGTGTAATCTGTAATCTGTAGGGGAATACATTTTAAAAGTCACCTTCCCAACACTGCAAACCAGGAAGACGTTTGGAAACATGCAACGACAACTTCCGGCAGGTTCAAAATTTAAAAAAAAAAAGAGAAAATGTCCCAGTTTTCTTCATCTCCGTGTCATTGTAGTTTTCCGTTATGTGCGACTAATCAACTATTACAACCATACCTCAGTTTTCATCACTTTCCCGCTGACACAAAACTCAAATTCCAGATGTTTCCAAACAGCACATACGTCTGCAGTCTTCATTTTACCGCTGATCACGTTTACTTCAGTGGGTTTGATCACAGTCGGTCAGGGAGCCCAGTGTCGGGAACTACACCGGAAGTTTTCATCGCGTGTTTCCGAACGTCTTCCTGGTTTGTGGTTCTCATGACGATTATCCAGTCGGAAAGCAGAATGAGCCTCACGTGACTCTCTCATTTGGGTTGCCAGTTTCAAACCCCTAGCACCTGCTCCAGCTCAGTGAGTGAAGTTTGGAGGTTCTGAGTAGAGGCCTGCGCAGGACAGAATTTTCTATTATATTATTATTATGTTTATTTATTTCGGACAGTAATACATAGAACATAAATTAAAAAACAAAAACAAAAAACTAAATAATAAAAAAAAAGACAAAAACGTAAATACATAGATATAACACAAAAAGTAACTATTTCTATTCTATAATAACAGGCAAAATAAATGTTACGCAGAATTTTCCTTGTGTCCGAAAAAGGAGTGGGAGGAAGTAAATACTTATTTAACCCCACCCCTTTTTTCTACAGTCCCAAATTAACGAAGAACAAATACAGACGTCTCATTTCCTGTACATTATAAGCAATAATTGCACAGTACCTCCATTGCATTACAATCTAACAGACAACAACAAATATATGTATATTATGTACACAGATATAGTACACATCATATACACAGATATAATATATACATACCTACATACACATCACATACCCATGCATACCTATATATATATATACATATATACACCCATATACATACACATACATATGCATGCACACATATACCCTAAGCACTCATTTCTTCCGCACAGTATTTTGAAATAATAATTAATTTTTTAATTGCCCTTTTGAATACATGTATATTCGAACAAAGTTTTAATTCTATTTTCAAGTTGTTCCATAATTTCACACCACAAACAGAGACACAAAAACTTTTTCTTGTCGTTCGAGCACGAGGCAATTTAAAATTCAAAACGCCTCATTAAGTTATAGTTTGTTTCCCTTTCACAAAAAAGTAGTTGAAGATTTTTTGGTAAGTGCTTATTTTTAGCTTTATACATGACTTGTGCAGTTTGGTACAGAATCAAATCGTTCAGTTTGAGTAATTTGGCATGAATAAACAGTGGATTAGTGTGGTCATGAAATTTGACATTATAAATAATTCTTATTGCTTTTTTTTAAAGTTTTATCAATGGTTCTATTGCAGTTTTATAGTTATTGCCCCAAATTTCTGCACAGTATGTTAAATATGGTAAAACCAGTGAACAATAAAGTGTGTGTAGTGCTCTGTGATCTAAGACATACTTATTCAATTCAAGTTTATTTCTACAGCACATTTAAAACAACTTCAGTTGACCAAAGTGCTTCACATACAAGTCAACAATATAGAAGAAACAGTTACATATACATATATACAGAAAACATGTTAAAACTACAATAAAAACAAAACAGCAAGATAACCTGACTAACTCGTACTAAATGCCAGGGAGAAGAGGTGAGTTTTCAGTCTCGCCTTAAACTGTGAGGATCTGACAGCAAGAGGAAGGCTGTTCCATAGTCTGGACGCTGCCACAGAAAAAGCTTCTGTCACCTCTCGTCTTAAGCCAAGTTTTGGGCTCGACCAACAGGAGCTGGTCGGCTGATCTCAGGGCTCTGGGCGGAGTACAGGGCTGCAGTAACTCGTCGTAACTTCACGTTTTTTAGTATTTGTGAGCAGACGAGCAGCAGCGTTCTGGACGTGTTGTAAGCCCTGCAGGGAGCCCTGGTCTAACCCTACATACAAAGAATTACAAACAGTCCAGACATGATGTCACGAAAGCATGGATCGCTTTTTCGAACTCTGCCAGTGGGAGGTAGGGCTTTTTCAGTCCCGTTCCCGCCCGCATCTGCGATATTTTGTCCTACTCCCACCCGCAAATCCCGCAAGATGTGGTCGTTCGCTTTCTTAAACTCTATCAAAACATGGAGAAGCGGAAAGGAATCGTCTACAATGTGCGCGAGATTAGACCACATCCGCAAGTTCAGGCTGCTTAAAATGTTTTTATTAATGCCAAATAAAATATCCAGCACAAATGACGAATGATAGGCACATTAATCATTTGTTTATTTTACTTTACACTCATATTTAGTTGCGTTTGCTCACTCGTTGTGCAGTCCCGCTCCCGCCCGCACCCGCAATGAGCTTTCAAAATGTGTCCCGCACCGCACTGTTTTGCGTCGGGTCCCACGGGTGCAGGTCTCTTGGTCTGAGTTTTCACATGAGTCTGTCCATAAACTGAGAATGAGACAAACTTGTGTTGTGGATGTGTCTCTATCTGCAGGTTAAAGCTCTGGCTACACAGGTTCAGTTTTTTGTTTATTGTCGTAACATTTAAGAGCTCAGACTACATACTCTTGTTTTGAAATGTTGTGAAGTCAGTGAAGGCTTTTATTGTGAAAGGTAAACCTGCACTTTCACCATCCTTTGGCAAACACAAAGAGCCAGAGCAGAGTCAATATTTGTCCATGTGTTTTTCCTTACATAAAGACTGTTTCCTTTCTCCCTCTGTCTCTGTTTTTGTCTCTCTCTTCTTCTCTGCGCCTCCTCTTTCTTTCTTTCTGTCTTAATTCTCTCTCCTTCTCTCGCTTTGTCTCTGTATTTTTCTCGTCTTCATTCTCTATCTCCATATCTTTCTCTCTCTTCTTCTATCTCTCTTCCTCTCTCTCTCCTTCCTCACTCTTTCTCTCCTCTTTTTCCTCTCTTTTCCGTCTCTCAGTGATGGACAGTTCCCGTACGACTCTGGTCCGTGGCAGCCGACGCCGTCTCAGCCGCCCGGGTCTCTGTCTGTGGTCACTACAGTTTGGGGCGTCACCAACACCTCCCAGAGCCAGGTAAGACTCTACTGCCATTGTGTCACTGAGCAAGACACCTTATAGCCGCTTTTCCGTTGTGTTAGTGTGACTGTAGAGCCGCACACAGAAGTAATTTAGTCCACGCTCTCTCTGAATTACTTACGAATCTAGTCACATTAATCCTGCTTTAGTTACCTATTAGAAAATACACAGTTCAAACATTTTAAGTCATGTTATAATGTTGTTACTGTGTTATTATTAGTCTGTCTACATCTTTAAAGGCTCTCAAAAGGCTCTGATCCACCTTGTGATGTCACGAAGTGGTAGTTTTCATGTTAATATCTACATAACTGTGTATTTACAGGAAGAAAATACAACTTAATACATAAATTTTAAGACATAGTTTTAAGACAAAGCTCTCGATTTACGGGTCAATCTTCGTTCCTCCGCTCACCTATGGTCATGAACTTTGGGTAATGACCGAAAAGGACGAGCTCACGGATACAAGCGGTCCAAATTAGTTTCCTCAGTGGGGTGGCTGGGCACGCTCCCTTAGAGATAGCGTGAGGAGCTCAGTCACACAGGAGGAGCTCAGAGTAGAGCCGCTGCTCCTCCATGTCAAGCGAAGCAGCTGAGGCTCCGGCATCTGTTCTGATGCCTCCTGGATGCCTCCCTGGGGAATTGTTCCAGGCATGTCCCACCAGGAGGAGGTCCCAGGGAAAACCCAGAACACGCTGGAGGGACTATGTCTCTCGGCTGGCCTGGGAACACCTCGGGATTCCCCCGGAAGAGCTGGAGGACGTGTGTGTGGAGGGGGAAGTCTGGGAGTCCCTGCTCAGACTGCTGTCCCCACCACCCGGCCCCGGATAAAGTGGAAGAAAATGGATGGATGGACATAACTTTAACTGTTACCTTGTCTTGTCAGGTGCTGGGGAACCCAATGGCCCACACGCCCACCCTCCCGCCTGGAGCACCCATGGGCGCTGGGTCCAGTCCAGGGATGAACTCGGCTCCGTTCTCTGGACCTCAGCAGCAGTTTAACAAAGGCTCTGGTCAGGGCTACATGCAGCAGGGAGTGTACGGGAGACCCCATTATAACACAGGAGGGGGCTTCAACGGCAGGTGAGAGAAATACCGATGCATTTATGATTTATGAAGGGCCAGGTGGTCCACTTAAGTCAACACAGATCATAAATCTTTCATGCCAAATCCTTTACATTTGAAGCACAATTTGAGCTGTACCTGTTTATCCTGGCCTGTCTAATGTATCTGCCCTCTGTCTCTCAGTTACCCCGGTGGACCTGCCCCTGGCCCTCCAGCTCTGGGACATCCTCAGCCGGCAGGCCGCGGCAGCTGCTGCTGCTGTCGCCGCCGCTGCTGCCACGGCAACCGCCACCGCCACCGCAACTGTTGCCGCGCTGCAAGAGACGCAGAATAAGGAGCTGAGCCATCAGTACGGACCGGTACGGACACACACGCACACACAAAAGACAGTTTAAACGAACAGTTCGGAATTTTCATTTCCTCGTGATCCAGAGTGTTGGAGACGTGTGGAGACACTTTTTTAAATATTCCATCCAGTCCTTGTATTTGCAGAGGTCACTGGTGTTAGACTAGTGCATGTCAATGGTCATAGTTTTCCTGACACTAAAAACAGTCTAACCCACTCCACAAAACACCAGAAGAAAATCTATTATTACACCAGACTGTCCAATGTAAATGTCTGTGTTGATAGAATAATGTTTGAAATAAAACTAACCTTGCATCGCATGAATTGTCACATGTTGAGGGACTATTTTCTCATAGATTAGTCCGCCAAGCTTTCTATCAGTCTGCTGCTCAGACATAAATCCTTCAAATGCAAGGTTAGGTTATGGAATATTTTTTTAAAAAGTGTCTCCACACGTCTCCAACACTCTGGCTCACTAGGAAATGAGGCCCTGTATCCAAAATTCCAAACTGTTCCTTTAACTGAGACTAAAGTGAATTCTCTCTGAAACTGTAACTCCTTCACATTCAAGAATCTGAGTCTAACACTTGTGTCTTCAGATGAGCTCGTCGTTCCAGATGGGGCCAAACCAGGGCTATAACGGACAGTTCATGCCCCAGAGCGCCCCCCGCGGGCCACCCTCTCACCCAGGGAACATGCAGGGTCCCGGGATGAACCCCAACATGAGCGGCCCTCCTCCCATGAGCATGAACCAGACCCGGGGCCAGAGCATGGGGCCCTACGGCGGACAGAGGATGCCCCAGCAGAACTACAGCGCCCCCCGGCCACAGGGGATGGGCATGCAGGGGATGAAGAGGCCGTACCCTGGAGAGGTGAGAGGAGACTTCGAGTTGATGTGTTTATTTTAAGAACTGAACAATCAAGTCTTGAAATTGTGACTTATCTGTAACATTCAAATAATTCACGTGATATTTTTGTCTCTCCTCAGCCAAACTACGGTGGTCAGCAGTACGGACCAAACGGACAGTTCCCAAACCAGCAGAACCAGTACAGCTCCTCCAGGCCCCTGCCCTCTCCAAACTACCCCCCACAGAGGCACCCGGGGCAGCCTATGCAAGGACAGTACCCCCCTCCCAATCCAGGCATGGGGCAGTACTACAAGGTATGTGCACCAGGTTTTTGGCCATGTTATGATGCGGCACTACATCAAAAACATATCTGGAGGTTTGTGTTTTTTTGAGGTTTGTGTGTTAAACTTGTGCGAATGAAACAGAACACAACTCCAGGTCTGTTTGTGATGAGGAAACAACATTATATTATTAGAAAATAGTGTGATATGGGCCCTTTTAACAATATTCTAATAACTTTAAAATAATTTCTTTTACAGCAGGAGCCTCCATTCAACGGCCAAACCACTAACTTCTCTGGGAGCGGATACAACCAGTTCAACCAGGGCAACATGAATGGGGTATGTTCACTTATGTAATACTAAATTAAAGCCGCACTGTGTCACTTTTCTGGTGGACGTTACATCAGGGGTGCCCAAAACGTCGATCGCCAAGGTAGTGTGGGTAGATCGCAGTGTCGTAGTGCTCAAGACCGGTGACGGTCTCAAGACTGTTTTTTTACAGTCTTGTACTGGTGAGCAGGTTCGTGGGGGCTTCACTCTGCAGCACTCGTCTGGAGCCACACGCGCCCCCAGAGCGCAGCTTGTCCGCAGCAGCATATGCCCTCGCATACCAGTAAGTATCACAGGGCAGGTTAAACTTTTTAAAACATCCTACCTGTCCACCTGCCTCACGTCAGCGTATAACACACATCAGCTCCCTCCTCAATGCTGATAGAAGAGGCCAAGTAAAATCTAATCTAAATTTATGTAACAGTGTTGGCACAGAACAGATCTGCCGTGACTTGTGGCTAAAGTTTACCTAATAAAAGTGCTCAAATGCATCTGTATTTGTCACAACGTGCATTCGGTAAATGTGCAGAGAGTACACTTTATTCACTTTCTTCAGTTTTGTGTAAAGTGCCAGTGGACATTCTCTTAAAGAAGAGGTTCAGTGTTTCAGTGCAGTTCAGTTTGTTTGGCTTTGTAATAGGCAGATCATTTTGACTTGGTCATTTTATAAGTAGCTCACACGCTGAAAAACTGTGGGCACCCCTGCGTTACACAGTGCACTTTTATTAAAGCCAATACATTTCATCATTAAAACGTAAATGCAAGATAGATAAGTTTAATGCCATACTGTGGAGCATCCCTGGCAAAGCAATAACATCTCCATGGAGACAAGGACATGATTGACCCCTACCAGAAAAGACAATGGGCCTTTAATTAAACCAATTCATTTAACCATTAAAACTTTTACTGATTTTAAAGAAGTTAGAAAGTTAAAATCTGTGACACCTTTAGATCATAATGTTATGTATTATTTGGACATTTTAAGTCACAATTTAGATCTAAAACGGCTTGATAAAAGAACTAAGACTTGAAAATCAGCGATTAAAGATTACTCAGATATAGATGAATGACTCCAAATACAACTTTGAGTGAGTAAATGGTGAGGAGAAACAACTACAGCACTGTTTAAAAGCTCAGAAAAGTCGATTTTGCGTAACAGTTCTGCTTTAAGTTTTTTTTAAATTGTAATATTTTTTGTGTTTCAGCCTCCGCGGCCGGTCGGGAACTACCCCCACTCTCCAGTCCCAGGAAACCCGACTCCGCCCATGACCCCGGGCAGCGGCATCCCTCCGTACCTGTCCCCAAACCCGGACGTCAAACCACCTTTTCCCGCAGACATCAAACCAAACATCAACTCACTACCGCCCCCTCCAGGTCAGCACCTCAACACAACACACAATAATGATTATATTCAAATTAGTATAACTTATTTATCCTCAAGACACAATCTGACACATTGAGCTGAAATACAATAATAATAAATGGATCAGAGTAGATTTGAGTTTAACAGGTCATTTGTTTTATATGAGTTATGATAAAGCAGTGACAATTTTGTACTATTTTGAGAAACAGATACTTTTATTTACAGTAGATTTATTGAAAACATAACTTGTGTTTTGTTTCATTTTCATATGTTACTAATGTTCATATTTTGGCTGTTTCCCCAAATGAATCTTGTGCAGAAATACGAAATTTGATGTTAATTTGCTGCTAATTTATCAAAATTAATGCTGAGGTGTTCAGTCCAAATACTTGTACAATTTATAATATACACAGTTTTTCAAAATACTCGACACAATATAAAACAAATACAATTGCGAGATGGAACTAGTGCCTTAGTAGAGATAATTAACTTTTTGTTTTTCACCACAGTTTTTTCTTTTTTTATTCTTTGCTGAGAAGGAGGCGCTCTGGGACAGTTATCCATTTGTTTGTTCTCTGTGAATATTGGTTAATCTGCTTGTTTGTTATTGACTGATTTGATTTTCTAACTTTCTCTTGGTTAAATCAATGATCCTGTGAAGCCCTAAGAGGTAGCTGCTGATTTTGAGCTTTACATAATACATTTAACTGAATATTTTAACATCCAATTAGAAACAAAAGTCATAATGAACCCAGTGATTAAAGGTTGTATGGAGGATTTTTTTTTTGTTTCAAACTGTCAGTGAAAGATTAAAATACCATTACAGAGACGCAGCAGCTTTGTAATTATGATGACCAAAAAAAATAAAAATCTATCAACTGTGGACGTGTTGAGGCCAGATAAACATCAGTCAATAGAAAACGAGGCTCCCTCATTTTGTATTGGCTGTTAGGTTGTCAATCAAACTCCCTAGTATAACTGACTCGTCAGAGCGCGGGGATTTCGTGGTTTACGCAGTGGTTCTTAGAGGCTTTTTCGAACTGTTGCTTCCTCGCATTTCGCACAAAGTTTGTCGCGATGGTGGATGAGAATCCACGACCGGTTCGCCGCAAAAGAAAGTCAGTTTTTGAGGTCGCTGAAAGAAGAAGAGCAGAGGAAAAGGAGCAAAGCCAAACTGAGGTGATTCTTGGAGATCTCGTCCAGCGATGGCACGACCGAAGAAGACGAAGGGTCTAAAAACTGACGCGTCGGTCGCTGAATTACTTCTAGACAGGAAACTTCAACAGTAATTCTGAATGCGCACAAGGACTGTCGCTGTATTTCTCTTCCCTTAAAAAAATCCTCTATACAACCTTTAAGTAATGACGTTTCATTTGTTTTGACAGTGAATCCGAACGAGGAGCTGCGCCTGACGTTCCCGGTCCGCGATGGCGTCGTGTTGGAGCCGTTCAGACTGGAGCATAACCTCGCCGTCAGTAACCACGTGTTCCACCTCAGACCGTCCGTGCACCAGACGCTCATGTGGAGGTGAGAACACGCACAATACGCATAGAATAACATTAAATGTAGTTTAAGTGAAGGGGCAAGGTGGATTCAGAGTCTTAAAGCTATAGTATGTCACTTTTTAGCCAGAAAATAGGCTAAAGTAAAAGCTTGTTTATTTATTTACTGAAACACTTACAAAGAAATGCATTCTTACTGTCAGTGGGCCATATGTCAGTAATCTACTAACTAACCGGGTTATTTTTAACCCTCTCAGGCTCAAATTAATTTTTAGTATCAGGAAAAATCTGATATTTGGGGAAAATTATAATATGGAGTAGTAATATACAATCCTGACTTTTTTATTCTTTGTAAACAAAATAAGTATTTTGCACTTCTGTCAGGCCGTTTTCGTGTAGCTCGTTCTTGCACAGTCTGCATCGTCCACGTTTATCAGCATGGATGGGAGAAAAGGCTCCTGAGTTAAAAAAGCTCATAAAATATGGATGTGGAGTAAGTAGGTACTTGGAATTTAGCTGTTGCAAATCTGCAACGCCTGCCTGGAGAGGGTTAAAGGTTGTATGGAGGATTTTTTTTTTTAGGTTCAAATTGTCATTGAACGTTTAAAATAACATTACGGAGACGAAGCAGCCTTGTAATTATGATGACCAAAAAAAAAAGAATGAAAATCTATCAACTGTGGACGTAGTGAGTCCAGACAAACATCAGCCAATAGATAACGAGGCTCCCTGTTTATCTATTGGCTGTTAGGTTGTCAATCAAACTCCTTATGTTTCTAGTGTAACTGACTCTCGGCGCGCGGGGATGACGTGGTTTATGCGGCGGTTCTTAGAGGCTTTTTTTAAACTGTCGCTTCCTCGCAATTCGCACAAAGTTTGTTGAGATGTCGGACAAGAATCCACGACCAGTTCGATGCAAAAGAAAGTCGGTTTTTGAGGTCGCCGAAAGAAGAAGAGAGGAGAAAAGGAGCAAAGACAAACTGAGGTGATTCTTGAAGATTCCTTCCAGCGACGGTGCGACCGAAGCAGACGAAGGGTCTAATAACTGACGCGTCGGTTGTTAAATTATTTCAACAGTGATTCTGAACGTGCACTGGCTGTAAACAAGTGTGATTTCTAGAGTAAAGAGGCGGGAGGAGGAGATGTTTCTACTGAGGAGCTGTGGAGGAGGAAGGTGGAGTCACACAAGCACAACATTTGACAAAGGACTGTCGCTGTATTTTTCTTCCCTGAAAAAATCCTCTATACAACCTTTAAGAGTCACAATATTCCCTTCTCGAGTGCGGCAAAACACCTCGGTGTGATATTCTTGAATGATTTAAAATTCAAGCGTCATGTCGAAGAAATGTTTAAAGTGGTTCGTAAGGATGTTTGTGTTGAGATTACTTCAAACAAAGCTGCCACCAAGAAGTAATGAGCTTCTGTTACGCTTTTTCAAGGCCTGTATTAGATCTGAGCTAGAATACTGCTCAGTGTTAATATGTGGTGCAGGAAAGACTCTGATGAACTGTGTCGAAAGTCTGCAGCAGCGATGCATGTGCGTCATTCTCCACCTGCCATATCATGCCCACATAACACCAGGGATCTCAGCTTGACCACACTGCAAACCAGACGCAATTTTGTACTGGCATGTTTTGCATTTAAACTGTACCACGGGCTTTCAGCAGCAGCTCTAGAACGGCACCAGCCACCACAGAAAGTTCTGCCTTATGATGTATAACAGGCCACTTATGTTTTTCCTGACTGGACCCTGCCCAGCCCTGTCATCTAGCAGAGGTCATGTCTCACTCTGACCACTCGGTGCTCGATGTGTTGAACCCTCCTGACTGTGTGTCACACTCTGGAACAATGGGCGAGTTTAAGGAGCCCCTGAGAGCACAGATCAGTGACGAGCCCCTTGCAAACTTCCTTTTGGATGAGAGTGGGATGGAGTCATATGTCCATGGAATTTTAATTTTGTATTTGAAAAATTCTTGTTTTAATTTCAATTTTTGTATTCATTAAAGTCCATCTGTGACATGTTAGTGTCATATGAACATCTCACACTCTGAGGAGCTCAGGGACCGACCTCCTGCTGGTGCCCAGAGTCACAACTAAACAAGGGGAGTCAGAGTTTCAGGTTCATGCAGCTAAAACCTGGAACAGTCTGAACATGTGAGACAGACTCTTCTGTGACGCTGTTTAAATCCAGACTCAAAACATTTCTGTTTGACTGTGCAAATAACTGAAAGGTTTTCATTCCGCACTCTTCTCTCCAATTTATGTCTCTCTTTTTTAATTTTAATCTTCATGATTATTTATGTTTTGATTTGTTTTTATTATGATTTTAATGTATTTCTTATTCTGTAAAGCACTTTGAATTACTTTGTGTATGAATTGTGCTGTACAAATAAACTTGCCTTGCCTAAAGGGAGGGAAAGAAATATGTGCAAAGCTGCATTAAACACATTATTACTCAATATATATTTGAGTCCTCCTCATAGGAAATTTTTTAAAAATGTAAATGTCTGGGCTAAAGGATCAGTCTCGAAGTGTCATCAGTTTGTTTCCCTTAATGCTCCTTATAATCCGGTGTGATTTATGTATGAAAATAGACGAGAGAATTCAACATTACTGATATCGCTCCTTATAATCTGGTGCGCCTTAATACAGTCGATTTTTTTTTTTCCACAAATCTGCCTCTTATTTGGCCTAGAGGAGGGCTTGTCTCCATGTAAAAGTTGCTATTTTCTATAATGTTTCAAGTTTTAAGATCTATTTAAGACTATTAATAATTTCTTTTTAGTTTTACTCTAAATTCAGTCAACTAAATCCATAATAGTTTTAGTCAACCAGGAAGAATTGAGACTGTTTATGTTTTGGTTTAGGGCAAGATTTTCCGTTTTCCATCATTTGGGGAAAGAAGCGTTTTATTTGTTTTGTTGCATTACCTGTAAACTTAATGTCCTCCCCTCCACAGATCCGACCTGGAGCTGCAGTTCAAGTGCTACCATCACGAGGACAGGCAGATGAACACAAACTGGCCGGCGTCAGTCCAGGTGAGCGTGAACGCGACGCCGCTCACCATCGAGAGAGGAGACAACAAGACGACCCACAAGCCCCTGCACCTCAAACACGTCTGCCAGCCGGGAAGGAACACCATCCAGATCACCGTCACCGCCTGCTGCTGCGTGAGTACCTCCAAGATAGTTTTTATTTAGTTTGACATTAAGGCCAAGGTTAATTTGCAGTGGTCGTCCCTAGATATAACTTCACGGATTTCACATTGTGGGTAAATTCACTGTAGATTTCAGTTGTACATTTAATAAAAATTCAACTGTGGTTAAAATTATTGCTCTAATACATGCATCACGAATTTTGGACTAATGCACACTGGGAAGGATCTTCTGAAAAAGTGAGCATCAAACCACCGTGTTTGTTTTCCCAGTGGGATGCGTCTATTGACAAAGTCGATCTTTTCAAGTCTTTTGAACCATATCGCTTTTGTTTCTGGTTCTGATATTGTCATATTTTAGTTTTGGGATTCGGACATCGTTAATTGTGTGGTTGTTGGATCCTAACAGCGGAAAACGGCTCGAGAAATTTGTTTGCGAACTCCATAAATGCAAAATGGAATCAGATGTGTGTGACTCAAACCTCTGTTCAAACTGTTTCTCTTCCCAGCAGAATTGAAAAATAGTGAAAGGTGAAGGTGATGGGCAGGACTGATCCACAGGAAGAACCAAAAAGGAAACCCTCAAAGTGGAATCCTGTTTGTTATGTTGTTGATGCATTTGGCTTTGGCTTTGACTTTTTAAATTCGTAACCAAGGCTGAGCGCTCCACATACAAAATGTTTGCTGCAAACTCGGAATGATTTCTTAGGCAGCCAAAGGTTTCATTTTTCGTCCTTCCTGTGGATCAATCCTGACCATCGCCTTCACCTTTCACTATTTTTCAATTCCGTTGGGAAGGGAAACAGTTTGAACAGAGGTTTGCAGACACACACATCTGATTTTGGAGTTCGCAAACAAATTTCTCGAGCCGTTTTCCGCCATTAGGATCCAACAACCACACAATTACGAATGTCCGAATCCCAAAACTAAAATATGACAATATCAGAACCAGAAACAAAAGTGATATGGTTCAAAAGACTAGAAAAGTTTGACTTTGACAATAGAGGCATCCCACTGGAAAATCAAACATGGCGATTCCCAGCATGCATTGCGTGATGACCGGAAGTCAAAAATTTGTGATGCATGTATTGATTACAAAAATGGAGAGATTCAAATCGAACATTATCTGATGGATGAACCACTACCTTCTCGTCTTCATGGAGATGTTGTTGCTTTACCTGAAATGTTCCATAGTTTGGCAACAGGGTGTTTGGCTGCTTTTTTGAAACGTTTTGTGTTTTGAGCTCAGTTTTTAACATCATAAACTCATGTGATTTTATACCACGGTCAGTGAGAATTCTGACCTTTTTCACAACAGCCGGAAGTGCCCCGTTGTAGGTTTGTGGAACTTCCAGTTAATGGTTTTCTACAGCAAAATATCTGTGGAACTGTCTCGCGTATTCTCCATCAGCTTCATAAATCTAAATCACCAAATCTTCAACCAACAAGGTTGACAAAGGATAAACATGAATCTTCCATGAAGAATTTATCCACAACTATAAAGGTAAGAAAGACAAAAACTTAAAAGCGAACAACAACAATGCATAAGTGAACTACTCCTGAGCAAAACTTAAGATATGGTATCCTAGAAATGTCTCGCATTCAGACTGCACAAATTTGTCTGTTTATATGCTAATATTGATATCATTAGAACGATTTTTAATTGTAGAATCAGTCTGAGTTCACAATTTACTTGTGTTTTTTTTTTGTTAACATAACATTAGTTTTGCTCAGGAGTAGTTCACTAATGCGTTGTCGTTGTTCACCTTTACGTTTTTGTCTTTCTTACCTTGATAGTTGTGGATAAATTCTTCATGGACAGAATATTTATCCTTTGTCGACCTTGTTGGTTGAAGATTTGGTGATGGGGCAGATTTATGAAGCTGCCGGAGAAACATTTCCACAGATATTTTGCCACATAAGCGGTTTAAGCGCATTAAACAACTTGAAGCCGTGCGTTGTGCAGTTTTAACGCACTTCTCGGAGGAGGAGTTCTACGATTCTGCGGCGTGCGTTAAAACTGCATACATCCTTTTTGTTTAATGTTTACTTAATCAACTAAGAAGTGAAGCATGTTCCGTTCAAAGGACACAAATAAGGGACTGTAGGATTGCGTGAAATGAGCCGTTTGTTTTTCAAGAGACAAAACTTGAATTTCCCTCAGGATTAGCATCTCTCGTTAAATGTTCCTATATCTATAAGTATATATATATTTTAAAAGTACTTAGTGAAATATAACTTGTATTTTTTCTCCTCCTCAGTCTCACCTGTTCGTGCTGCAGTTGGTTCACAGACCGTCAGTGCGCTCAGTGCTTCAGGGTTTACTGAAGAAGAGGCTCCTCCCAGCAGAGCACTGCATCACCAAAGGTACAAAATCAGAAAGAAATGTGTTTTTTTACGCTCTGCTCCCTCATGCTGCACATGCACAGTCACTAAAGAAGAAAAATGTATATTAATAACAACAAAACAACTAGAGGTTATGTCCCTTTGTCTTTAAACATTTGTAATAGCCTGAATAACAACCTTAGCAGTCGAAGAGGAACAGAGGTGAGTTGAGCCGATTTTAGTGCAAACCCAAAGTGCATTTATTTACAGAAATTACAAAAGTTAAAAACCGCACCTTCCTCTCGTTAAAGGTGAGGCTGGCTCCTTTAATCGGCCACCTCCTTTAACTGGAATGTAATGTAGCTCGTCCATTACAACATTTATAACGGCAAAACAAACGTGACTGAAACCAGAGGTGGGACTTGCAAGTCGTGACTTGGACTCGAGTCAGACTTGAGACTTGATTATTTTTAGGACTTGAGGCTTGACTTGATAAAATGAGCTAAAACTTGGGACTTGACTCGGACTTGAGCTGTGTGACTTGAGAAGACTTGATGCTTCTCCTGAAAAAATGTGTGTTTTTAGAAAATACTTTTCTCTTTACAGTTGATAAACGCGGTGCTGAATTTTACAGGAACAAACTGGAACATGTCCCTCACACTTTTCTATTTGTTAATTGGATGTAACTGAAGTACTGTGATGTGGTATCCTCAAATGTACTACAGTAATACACAGTACAACACTGTAAAACAGAGAGAATTACATAGAACTACTTAACTGGTCAAGACATTTGAAAAGGAAAAATTTACATTTCTGCAACTCTTATATACTCATTAAGTACAGTTTAGTTTAAAATTCATATAAATTGCACAAATCTAAGCTATATTTGGTACTTTTTTTGTTTAAAGACTTGAAATAACTTGAAGCTCAAAGCAGACGACTTGGACTTGACTTGGACTTATGAGCCAGTGACTCAAGACTCGACTTGGACTTGCCTGTGTTTGACTTGGGACTTGACTCGGACTTGAGGTCAAAGACTTGAGACTTGCAAAACAACGACTTGGTCCCACCTCTGGCTGAAACTACTAAAACCTTATTTTTTTTAGCTGCCCATAACTCGCCGTTGTTTGTAAATTTCCCTGTTCAAGTCTTATTGTCTCTTGCACTTTTTAAATAAATAAGTGTAAGATTTTAAAGCCAGAAAATTTATAAAATGTTGATTTGGAAACATTTAATACACCTATTTGTAATAAAAATTCAAAACTGACTTTTATGGGCAATTTATAGCAAGTTATAATGTTATTTCTTTACAAAAAACACACATGGTTTTGATTCAGTTTCAATAATCGTTTGTGATTTTTTTTTTTTTTTTTTTTTTTTACTTCTAGCCCAAATTAAAACCTTAATTAGAAAAAGTTACAAAAAAAATTACATTATTCTGTTGCATGAATTTAGTCATTTTAAGCACTGATTAGAAAATAAAAACAGTATAAATAACAGCTGGATAGCCTCAGGTATTTTTTTTTTTTTTTTTTTTTTTGTCACTAAAGACAATAGAATATAATATTGAACAAAATACAATAAGAAACATGAAAATACAGCCACAAAAACATAAAAAAATACCTAAAACAAACATAAAACAACAAGTAAATAAAAAAATAGAAGTAATGGGGTAGGTGGTATTATTATTTTTTTCCCAACGTTTTCTATTATTTATTATTTTCGCCATCATTTTCTTTCATTTTTATTTATTTATTTTTTTACTTTTTACTACACATTTAAAGCATAATTTTAAAGGTATTTTCTTTTTTTTTTATTAATTATATATATATATTTTATTATGAATTATCTTCTTTTTTTATATAGATTATGAATTGTCTTTTTTATTTTTCTATTTTAGAGAAATCGGGAAATGTACAGATAGTCTAATCCGTTATTTTCTGTTAACAGTGAAGAGGAATTTCAGCAGCGTGGCGGCGTCTTCAGGCAGCACGACTCTGAACGGAGAAGACGGCGTGGAGCAGACGGCGATAAAAGTGTCTCTGAAATGTCCCATCACGTTCAGACGGATACAGCTGCCGGCGCGAGGACACGACTGTAAACACGTCCAGGTACAGAGAAAACTCCAACTACTGCAACTAGAACACGTGAGGTTCTGTCAGTTTATGTGTTTAAATATTTACTCTTTATTTCAGTGTTTTGATCTGGAGTCGTATCTGCAACTGAACTGTGAACGAGGGACGTGGAGGTGTCCAGTCTGCAAGTGAGTTTCAACATTTATTATTATTATAACCACTGCACTTTTTGTTATTATAATAGGATGTGATCTTTGAGCTACTGGGTCCAAACAGTTTCTCTTGTGGATTAATAATGTTTAAAGGTTGTATGGAGGATTTTTTTTTTAGTTTCAAACTGTCAGTCAAAGATTAAAATACCATTACAGAGACGCAGCAGCTTTGTAATTATGATGACCAAAAAAAAAAAAGAACGAAAATCTATCAACTGTGGACGTGTTGAGGCCAGATAAACATCAGCCAATAGAAAACGAGGCTCCCTCATTTTCTATTGGCTGTTGGGTTGTCAATCAAACTCCCTAGTATAACTGACTCGTCGGAGCGCGGGGATTTCGTGGTTTACGCAGCGGTTCTTAGAGGCTTTTTCGAACTGTCGCTTCCTCGCATTTCGCACAAAGTTTGTCGCGACGGCGGACGAGAATCCACGACCGGTTTGCCGCAAAAGAAAGTCCGTTTTTGAGGTCGCTGAAAGAAGAAGAGAAGAGGAAAAGGAGCAAAGCCAAACTGAGGTGATTTGTGGAGATCTCGTCCAGCGATGGCGCGACCGAAGAAGACGAAGGGACTAAAAACTGACGCGTCGGTCGCTGAATTACTTCTAGACAGGAAACTTCTTAACTTCTTTTGTTAGTCTTAACAAAAGACTAAAAATGTACAGAGAACATAAACTAAGAAACAGAACAACAGAATAAACAGCAACACCAGTGACAGTTCTGAAGATGGCTTGCAGCTCGCAGCCGAAACATGTCAACAAGGTAAATACACTTTACTGCATTGTCTTTAAAAAGAACCTAAGAAGTTAACAGAATAAACAGTTTTGTGCCACAAAAGGGGTCACGCAGGCTTACAAAAAACGAGTGGTAAAATTAAGGGGCACACACAAAACTAAAACACAAGTTCCCCAAATTAAACCACATAAGCCCACAAACAGAATCGAGTGACCGAATCAAAAAAGGCACAAAACAGAACTAAACTAAACCACACACAAACACAAAATGGCAGACTGGTCACCAAGGCCAGCAGCCCCAAACAGGTGCTGGTCATCTCCTTAAATAGGGGGCGGTGGCTGCAGGTGAGGTGGGCGTAGACTTGCCCCACCAATCACAAACGAGGGCTCCCACAGCAGGACTTGAGGTGTGTCAGCAGAATGATTTAGAACACACAGAACAAATTACAATCTAAGGCCTGGGGCCGTAACACTAACACTGACACGGAGTTTGAAAGAGAAAAGAGCAACATTAAACATTGAGATGCAGATTCACATGGGACTAGTATTATCACCGGACGTCTGTGTTTGGCGAAATATTGTAGGTAATTTCTGGCAGAATTCTTACTTTACAAATTACAGACATGCCGAATTTGTACGGGATTAAGAACTCAGGCATCCTCCACAATCATTACAAATCACCAAAGGTTCACAGGTCATACTAATCTTGTGCAAAAAGGGCATTATTTAACCATGGAATTAAAATGGTTGTTATTATAAGGGCTCAAAGTGTGAAATATTTCCTCAAAGTGTGAAATATATCCTTTGTGTTTGTGAGAGGCACACAAAGAGCCCAGAATTTAACCCACTTCCAGTTCATCTGTATTAGCAGGGGCCCATGTGAGGCTTCTTGCCCAAAATTTCTCTTGACGGACCTGACACATGGGACAATAAATGTTTTTTATTAAAAGTCTTACCCAGAATTTACACCAGGAACGTCAGCAGCGCATAACACAGGCAAAGCTGCATACACAAACAGCCTCTGTGTATTCTCACGTTTAAACACTAAACTTTTTACATTGTTTGTGTATTCATTGTTGACTGGATGAATTACGTTTTGAATCACAATGCAAAGGTTGACAACAAGAGAGACGATGTTTTGCAGCGATAACGAGCCGTATCTGTGGTGCTGCATGAATGAAGCTACTCACCATTTCACTTCAGTCGCCTGCTCCACGCGCCTTTTCCCTCAGAAGTTCTTCTTGTAAAGTTTCCGTCTGATGTTGTCCACCGCTGTAAACTTTCCGTAGTCCATCGCGAGTCATTCCCCGAGCTCCCGATGCGACGCACGGTGTTTACACGACTGTAGTGGTGTTAGGGAACGTATTTTGAAAGGACACGGGAAGTTTATTTTGACACCACATGTTTATTTCCTGTCTTTCCCCTGCTAAAAAGCCTGGAGACGCTCAGTTGACGCTGCGAAATTACAACTCCAACCTAATTTGAGCAGCGCATAGTCTAATGTATGACACACGTATGACACTGCTGGTGTAAACTGTCCGACCGGTTAAAATGGAAAGCCAAACCTGCTCCTGTGCTTTGGTGTAAATAGAGGATTACTGATATGTTTCGTGTTCTGGAAAAGGAGAACTTTCAAATTAATACTTTAAAGGTTGTATGGAGGATTTTTTTTTTTTGTTTCAAATTGTCAATGAAAGTTTAAAATACCATTACAGAGACGCAGCAGCTTTGTAATTATAATGACCAAAAAAAAAAAGAAAGAAAATCTATCAACTGTGGACGTGTTGAGGCCAGATAAACATCAGCCAGTAGAAAACGAGGCTGCCTCACTTTCTATTGGCTGTTAGGTTGTCAATCAATCTCCCTAAGTTTCTAAGGTAACTATGCAGCGGTTCTTAGAGGCTTTTTCTAATTGTGGCTCTCGCAGTTCGCATAAAGTTTGTCGCGATGTCGGATGAGAATCGACGACCAGTTCGCCGCAAAAGAAAGTCGGTTTTTGAGGTCGGTGAAAGACGAAGAGAAGGAGAAAAGGAGCGAAGACAAACTGAGGTGATTCTTGGAGATTCCTTTCAGTGACTGCACGACTGAAGCAGACAAAGGGTCTAAAAACTGAGGTGTCGGTCTCTAAATTATTTCTAGAGGGAGCTGTGGAGGAGGAAGGTGGTGTCGCTGGATTTCTCTTTCCTTAAAAAAATCCTCTATACAACCTTTAATCTGGGTGAAACATCCACTACTGTCTGCCTATAATAGTTTGTGTTTCATAATATGTCCTTCACAGTGGCACAAAGATGCTTTCTTGGTCAAAGAGGAAATGTTTTGTTATTGAATTGTGATTGTTGCATTTACATAATCAATTCTTACACAGCCAGTCCGTCATCCGTATCATTGTTTCATACATTGCTTACTGTATTCTAACCAAACTGCACTCTTTGTTCACAGTAAAACAGCGTTATTAGAAGGACTCGAAGTGGACCAGTACATGTGGGGGATCCTGAACGCCATTCAAAAGTAAGACGAGACCTCAAACCCGACTTTTACACATTAAATCCCTACATTTTCGTGTTAGATTACTCATTTTACTTAACCATACTGTAGTTAACATAATCATATTCAGTGTTGGGGAGTAACAGATTACATGTACCGCCGTTACGTAATCAGAGTACAAATTATGAGTAACTGTATTCAGTTACAGTTACTGTTTCAGTGAGTGGTAATTGGATTACAGTTACTTTGCTGAAATAAGTGGATTACAAGGCGGTATTTTCCTGTTTTCACATTTTGTGCTACATCCCATTTATTTATTTTTTTATTTCGGTAATTTCACTCATTGCCTGAAGCCCAAACAGAACGCGCGCAATAAGAGCGATGTAAACGTCATGTTAAAGTTGGCGGTGTCAGTCACACAGTGGAAGCAGCAGTGCATTGGTAAAAACGCATTTGTGTCTTGGAAATTCTTCTCCCAATGTGAGATATATATAAAAAAAAAACCAAATATAAAATCGCCTACAACTTAAATGTGAAACAGGAGCTACTGGCACTGGTGAAAACAACCTGCATAGACTCATAATATCTGCACTACTGTCCTATAGTGACCTGCCACATGAGGGGACACACACAAACACACACACACACACACACACACACAACACACACCTTCATCATCGTCATCAACCTGAGAACCCGCGGACCACGTCTCCTTCCGTAGTTACTGCGTGGACACCGACGTCTCGTGCGCCGCGTGTGGACCGTGTTTTCTCGCGTAAACCGCACTTCCTCCTGTGCGCCTCTAAACCAGAACTAACACCAGGACTAAACCAGGACTAATCCAGGACTAAACCAGGACTAAAGCAGGACTGAACCAGGTTTAAACTAGGACTAAACCACGACTAAACCAGAACTAAAGACCTGGTCTAGACCAGGTCTAAAAATCAGGACTAAACCAGGACTAAACCAGGTCTAAACAACACGACACCTAACAGTAGGTTGACATAATTTAAGGTGATCTCATATAAAAAATAATTTCTCTATCAATAATATTTTTTAATATTAAGGAAAGGCTGATCTTGTTACTGTCTTTTAACAGACAAAACCTCTTATATTAAGATCTCGTGGTCTTTGTTTCTCTACAGCAAACAGTTGTTTATTCATGGAGACTTGGGCTCAGACAATTTGAAGACAACAAACAAGAATTTTGAGGATGTGGTTGCTACATTCATGTCGTTTAAAAAAACATGACAATATCAAGTAATCCAAAGTAATCAGATTACGTTACTTTAAGTAATTTAATGGATTACGTTACAAATTACATTTTGGGGTGTGTAATCTGTAATCTGTAGGGGATTACATTTTAAAAGTAACCTTCCCAACACTGATCATATTTAAAATTTTACTGTAAATCTTCCCTTGCTTGTTCTAGTTTTTATTTCTTCATGTATGTAATTGAATTTTCTGGAGGAACATAGGCAGCAGTGACATAAAAATCAATGGTAATACTTGTATTTTGTTGAATAAATGTTTAGACTGTCAGATAAAATGCCTTTCTTGTCTGCAAAGTCTCTGCATTTTGGATGAAATGTTTAAAGTTGATGACGGATAGAGCTGTTTTGTGTTATAACTCAGTGCTACTTCTTGTATTTTTTTGTATTTTTGTTCCATTTAACTGATGTAAAACATTGCTAAATATTTACCACAGGTTCTATCCCACCAAATCAAGACAAAACTAAAAAACCTGTCATTTCCTTTTCCGTGTGTGCAGCTCTGAGTTCGAGGAGGTGACGATCGACCCGACGTGCAGCTGGAGGCCTGTAGCCATAAAGTCTGAGCTTCACATAAAGGAAGACCCGGACGGACCAATGTCGAAGAGGTTTAAGACCATGAGCCCGAGTCAGATGATCCTGCCCAACGTGATGGACATGATCGCGCAGCTGGGGCCCGGGAGCACGCCGTATCCGCCTCAACAGGCAAACAGCAACGAATACGGCAGCCAAGGTTAGAACCTTTATAAACAAATAACTCCTACTACAGTATCTTGTATATGAACTTTTGTTAAAGCTGTGTTTAATTCAGCATCTGGATTAAGGATTATATTGTTTAGGTTTTATTCTAACTTTGTAAATAAGGTAAAATTACAATTGCGTTTCTCAAACTAAACTCAAGACCAGAACAAAAACAGGACTTTTTATGTCTAAACTTGAACTAAACTTGGACTAAATCCGGTCAAAAACTAGAATTACACCAGGTCTTGAACTTGATGATGATCCTCAGTTTGTGGTGGTTGTAATAATTAAACTGTGAATCGAGCGCCTAATTAAGGAAAACTTTTCTGCACACAACATGAGTCAGTATAGTCATATTTTCTTTGTGTTTTGGTCATTTTTCAGCAGCTTTTGTGTATTTTACTTAAACAAATGACAATTTATGCCTCTATTTACTGTTGACAGGGATCAAATTGGTCAACTCTTAAGTCAATAGAATCCCTCTACAAAAAAGCTTTGAAAATATTAGACAAGAAACCTTTTACTTACCATAGTTGCAATGTGCTCTCCAAATACAATCTATTGAGCTTTCAGAATTTTATAAAATTTAGAAATGCCTGTTTGATGTATAAGATTTTGCACGGTTTAGCTCCACCCCCACTCAGTGATTATATCAGGTATAGGTCAAGTGTTACATGTCGCTCCTCCAGGGCCACAGACAGAGGAGACTGTGAGGTGCCTGATAGAAAAACCTCTTTCAGTCAAAATGTGTTTTCATATAAGGGCAGTGTTCTGTGGAACAGTTTACCACCCACAGTTAGAGACTCCCCCAGCTTTACGACTTTTAAAGGCCATTTAAAGACATGGCTCAGGTCGACACAGGTGTGTGATCATTTACGATAGTTTACAATGTGCAATGGGCAAAGTACAATATGCTATTTATTAAGTATTTTAATATTTAAATTACGGGCAATATAATATATACTAAAGAATTTTACCTTCGAGGGCACGTGCAATACATTGTAGAAAAGCACTTTATAGTAATTTTAGCAATGGACTGTGTGCAATATCTATACACTGGCATCTTAACTAAACAAGGCAGCGTGCAATTTTGATCAAATAATCCAACATCCTTTACTTGACCTGTGTCTGTGCTCTTGTGACTGACCAGCTCTTTGTGTCTGTCTATTTGTATTACTGTATTGTCTGTCGGGGTGTATTGTTTTTACTGTGATTTTGTTTTATGATTACATCAACCTACCTAAGGACAGCAGATGGAAATTAGCCTTGGGCTATAATCTGATAACATATTTACATATCATGTATATGTTCATTAATGTGTTTTGTCCCTATTTTCTTAAATAAATAAATAAATAAATAATAGGGACACCTGGGATGTTTCTTGTATAAAACTGGGACAGATCACTGGTTTTGTATAAATCTGCTGGGACAGGGGACACAGGGCTCAAAACTGGGACTGTCCCGAGTAAATAGGGACGTCTGGTCACCCTAATCTAACTGTATCTCATCTAAGGCTCCCTGAGGCTCTTATATACTCAACATTTCTTGTGACCGCTAAAACTAGTAGCTCTCTGGCATTTTTGTTTTTTAAAGGTTGCTCACTGGAGGAAAAAGGACGGAGACCCCTGGTTTAGGTTTTATTCTGACTTTGTGAATAAGTTAAAATTACAACTGCAATTCTCGAACTAAACCCAAGAAAGGCCAGAACTGAAACCAGAAAAAACAGGAGATTTTTAGTTTAAAACTGGGACTAAACCTGGACTTATTATGCGTCCTATTGTGCTCGGGACTGGGGTAAAACCAACTTCCACCTGGAGAAAGTGCAACGGAACGGCCTCTCAAATCTTAGACATTAAATCTGAGACATTAAACTTTCTCTCACATCCATATTTTCCCCAGCTGTTGCAATGGAACACATTTACAGTAAATGTCGGGAGAACTGACTCGGATTTATCGACGACCGACATCCAATAGAAGGCGACATAAATCCAGTCTAAACTAGAATTACATCAGGTCTTGAACTTGATGATGATCCTGCCCAATGTAATGGACATGGTCGGCCCTGGAACACGCCTTATCCGTCTCAACAGGCAAACAACAGCAACAAATAGGGCAGCAACGTGTGTGTATTTTTGTTAAATCTGTATTGAATTCATCATCTGTATTTAGAAGAAGACATCGTTTAGGTACGGTTCAGACTTAAATTTATCTTAAACTAAACTAAACTTACATTATAATAGTTATTCTCAAACTAAACCAGGACAAAACCCAGGCTACAGAAACCAAGATTATTTATACTCTAAATTAGGACCAAAAACAAGATTTAAAGTGGACTAAACCAGGTCTTGAACTTCACAGGACAAATCCACGACTAAAAATGCAGATAGGTAGATGTGAAAAGAAGTAAAAGCTTGTGCACCAGTTATTTTTGCACATAATTTCCACACCTTTGCAGATCTAGAACTAATATATCCCATACATTTTGAGTATTTTTTAAGCCATTTACTTTTCTATGTGAATAAACACCTCTTTTATGTATTGTTTCCAGGCAACAGTTTCCCAGGCCACAGTAACTTCGACTTCCCTCACGGTAATCCCGGTGGTACTTCCATGAATGACTTCCTCCCCGGGCCTCAGCTGTCCCACCCTCCGGACCTCTCCTCTGGACTCATGAGCCAGGACAAGCCCCTCTCCCACCACATCAACGACTCAGTGAGTAGAAACTAGTCTCTCCGCTTGTAAAAATGATCTTTAAGCTTTCATATTGTTTTCCATTGCTCCCAGTTACAATGAATTGTTGTTAAATTTTGAAATAATAAATTACAGGAGCAGCTTTTATTTGCTTGTCGGTCCCACATCATTAGGTACAGAAGTTGTTGGAGTAAATTTGTTTTATCCTGCATTTGAGGCTTGATTGTGCTCGGGAAATTTCAGTTTTTACCTACCCCCTGTGTCCGCCCACTTTTTTATTGTGAATATTGTCATGCACAAAGGGTTAAAAATGTTTAGGAGTATTTTATAATGAAAACATGTAAATTAAAAAACAGTGCACCTCATTTTTACCATCTTTAAAAACAGAAAAACAGAACTAGTTTATTTTAAATAGTTTGCAATGGTCTAAAGTTATTCCACACTTATCTTATCTATTCCTTAGGCACCACAGGGACTTTCAAAGTTGTTTAATAAAGCAGAACATTTTTATAATTTTTTTTATCTAACCTAACCTTTGTGTCTATCTCATCCACAGATACCTCATCCTGTTGGCAGCGACCAGTCACACGGGGCGCTGCAGCAGGCCCTCCACGGATCCCCTCGCGCCGGCGGCCAATCAGGACCTTCGTTACACCCAGGCGGCCAATCGGGGCCATCGTTGCACCCAGGCGGCCAATCGGGGCCATCGTTGCACCCAGGCGGCCAATCGGGGCAGCCTTTGCATATGGGGGGCCAATCAGGACCTTCGTTACTCCACAGTGGTCCTCCGCCGCAGAGACAAGCCCCGCCCCCTCAGCACCCTCAGCACCCTCAGCACCCTCAGCAGACGCAGCCACAGACGCCCGCTGACCTGAACTTTAACCCCGGCAACGGCCTCGACGGGACGGGGTCAGATATGCCCGAGCCCTCCCTAGATGTGAGTCAGATTTGTTATTCTCCAGTAGCAGTAGGTCTGCTGTCGGTCCAGCTCTTTCAGTCCTGATACTTATATATACTGATACTTTTACTTTAAGTATACTTTAAGATATTTGATATTAACTGATACTAATGTAGTGACTGAAAATGGCACTTATTTCCTGCAGCTGTTCTTTATCCTTCACATCACTACTGAACAGCTCTGTATTTATAAAAGTTAGAACATAATAATAATAATAATAATCATCATAATCATAAATCTTTTATTTTATTTATAAAGCACTGTTAAAAATAAGGTTTACAAAGTGCTGTAAAAGCAGCAAAGAGTAATACAAAAAGCATAAAAACAGCAAACAGAAGGCACACAAAAACAGACAATGGTGCAAACGATCCAATAAATTAGAATAAATAAATAAAAAGAAATAGAATAAAAATAAATAACAAATAAAATCAAGCTAAAATCAATTAAAGCAGACATGTCAAATTCAGACCTGGGGGGTAAATTTGGCCCCTCGATATAATTATATTTGGCCCACGAGATCATATCAAATATTTATTAAAGCTGCTCGCCAGCTACAGATCGACTATAGAGACATTATTTATTTAAAATGTTGTTATTATTTTATATTTTGCTTGTTCTGGATTCAATGTTTAAGCAAAACTATTGTTAAAAATTTATTTTAATACAAAGAGGTTTAATATTACATGACTCGAAAGAAGAGAAAACATGCAGATGTTGTTGAAATTTTTCAATAAATATTTAGTTTGGCCCACGACTTAGTCCCAGTTTTTAATTTTGGCCCTTTGTGAATCTGAGTTTGACATCCCTGTGTTAAAGGGAGGCCAGAGTTTTAAGAAGTGATTTAAAAGAAGATACTGAGACATGATTATGAGACATTCTAGGCCAAAATCAGCTTTATTACATCCAGTTAAATGTCCAATCAGGATACTGGCTTAACCGATGCCTGATCAAAGTTAATATTTCAGTATCGGTGCCAATATTCAATATCAGTATCGGCATGGGTGCATCCCTACTCGGTAAGTAGTAGTAGTAAAAAAAATAGACACTACGGTAGTACTTTTAGTATTAGTAGTTGTAGTCAATAAATATTAGTAGCTCACGGACTGCACTTTGAAAGCTGCACAAGTTAGAGTTAGCTGCAAGTTACGGTTCAGATCTGTGGAGAGGCAACCCCGCTCACAGTCAGAATGTCTGTTTTTCAAGGTGTTTTTCAGCTACAAAACACCTGCAATTGAATAAATGTAAGGTAGAAATGATTAATGTGAAGTGCAATGACTCATCCATAGAAACAAGCGGCCCCAACCGAAAAAGTTCCACAGCGCGCCTTTAAATGTAACTCCGTCTTCTCGTTTTTCAGCTTCTTCCAGAGTTGGCGAATCCGGACGAGCTGCTTTCGTACCTGGACCCTCCGGACCTCCCCAACAACAGCAGCGACGACCTCCTCTCGCTGTTCGAAAACAACTGAGGAGAGCTCACTGAAAACTCGCAAAAAACTCAGCAAAAAAACTCTATGAACTCTGAGCCAATGGAGCCAAAACGTCCGCCTACAACACAGATGCACTCCCTCTTCCTCTCCCTCCACAGTTTTCATGCGACCAGCACAGACTCTCTCTCTCTCTGTCTCTCTCTCCCGTGGACTTTCGAAACGCGCAGCTAAACTCAAAAACTGTTTTATACGCATGTTGTGGACACATGTAGCATTTTTTATTTGTGTTTCTTTTACATAAAAAAAGAAGGAAAATGTAAAAAAAAAATATATATAGTAATAATAATAGTTACTGGGCCACTGTATGTTGCAATGCCGCTCCATCCCCTCAATGTCAAAGAAGCACAAGAGATTGGAAACTACACGAAATGAAGGATGGAGGAGAATTTTTGTTAAAACCCCTCACCATTCCGAGGGACCGCGCTTGGTCTCTTGAACTTTTTCTTGATTAATTTCTGTTTGTCCAGCTTCTGATAAAAGGTATCAGTGGACAAGTAAAACAATAATGTAAACACTTATTTTCAGGCAAATCAACCAAGAATCTGGACAAGTTTGTACTTCAAACCCACAAAAAATAACCCAAAAAAGACTCAACAAACGCTCAGTCTGCTGTTTTATCAGATCATCCCCAGGTGCACCAGCTATACCCGTTCTTATATTTACCTCAAATAACAATAATACTATTTTCCTGCAGAGCTTGTTCCCATTTAAATGAGAAAAGATCAGACAGAGGCCAAAACCACTGAGCCTCTGACCACGATTATACGTAGCCGGGTATGTTGAGAAACGAATATTTCCCTCCCTCCGATTTCTAAAATAACTTTGTGCACATGGCATCGCTTTCAAAAAAGTTTTTGTTTACATCGACCCGCATAAATACACCATCAAGCACCGTTATAACTACACCAAACCTCTGGGCGGAGCTGGATTAGACTCAAACCTGTAGCATTTATTTCATTACAGTTGTAAGTTTTACTCAAAATTCATTGAAAATCATTGAAAAACAATGTGCATTAGTGAGCGGGCTCGCCTCTCCACAGATCTGTTAAAGAAGTGGTAAAATCGCTGACCTCCGAGCCTCATTCGTCTCTGGTCGTGGATATGAAACATCAGCTGTTTGTGCAAATGTAAACACATGAAAAGTGTTGGACCAGAAGAAAAGCGACTCTCTGAATGCTCCATCATCATCATCAGAGCAAAAGGGAAACACTGGTCACACTTTTCACTCCGTTTATCTCACTTTACAGGCAAACGCGAAGCCGTAGTTTTCCAGAATCTTGTCTCTAGTTTTTAGAAAGATTCGTTTTCAGAGTCGAATTCGTCATTTGTGTGAAAAAGATGAGTACAAACGAAGGAAAATGTCTCAGTTTCTAAAAATACCCGTGTACGTGTAAACGAGGCCTCAGCTTCACAAAGTCTAACCTTTCGTCGGTGCTCCCAAGGATTCAGAAACATTAAATTTCAACTGAGAGTTTTATTTTAGTCAGAAATTTTAGGAAAAATCGGCTGGAATGGTAAGAGGTTTTAACATATTTTACAACTGCAATTTTTCTGACATGTTCTGGTTGCAGTTTGCCTTCCAAAGAACCACTATTATCACAGATTATTAAAAAAAAAACTATAACATTATTTTGTAATTTACACATTTACATTAAAATATCATGTTTTGCTAATCCAGTTTTAGGTTGAATTTTAAAATAAGTTAATAAAGCTGGTTTATAAATGTTCAGTCCATTATCATAAATTATATATCAGAAAAATTATTGTTTTGCATTTATTCAAGTCATTGCATTTTAATTGTCGTTTCACAAAAACCTGGGTCTTTTTAACGACAAATAACACAGAAATATTTGACAAAAATCACTGTGCTTTAAGTTCACGTGTACTTTGATTTCATAACATTAACACTGTTTTGCCAATACTGTGCAAATGTCAAAGGCAAAGGTTTAAGAAGAAAAAAAAAACACCATCTTCCTCATTCTGAGTTAAAACTGAAATAGGATTAATACCGGATTAAACTACACTGCAAAAAGTAATATCTAGGTAAGTTAAAATGACTTAAATTAAAAATATTTTACTTCATTTGAGTCGATTAAACTTGACAAGTAAAATTATCTACCAATGGAAGAAGCGTGTCTGTCTTAATTTAAGCAACATTCAATTTTGTTTCTTATTTTAAGTGCAAAAAGGTGTTGTTTTTTCTTTTTTTAAGTGTAGAAAGATGTATTTTAATATTTTTACTATGAAAATTGTTGTTCCATTGGCAGATCATTTTACTTGTCAAGCGAAATTTACTCAAATCTTGATAAAACTTTATTAATTCAAGTAATTTTAACTTGACTAGATGTTATTTTTTGCAGTGTAGAACTAAACCAAGACTATATCAGATCTAAACCAGCACTACCGTATTTTCTGCACTATTAGGGGCTTTGGATTATAAGACGCACAGTCATTAAATGGTCTATTTTCGAACTTTTTTCACAAATAAACCACACTGGACTTTATTGTCGTCGTGTTCGCAGTGACTCAGTTGTTCAGTCGTGTCTAGAAGTGGCACGTTGCACTCGTTTTTTCGGTTCGTTCCTCCGTTCCGTTCCTCGTCGGCGTGGAGTGATGAGTGTGTCTGTGGGTGTTTTTCGCCGCGCGGTCGCTGTCTGCTCCGTGTGTGTTTGCTGGGACACCCGAGTGGATTCGTGTACAGGGCGCTCTGGCTTGCGGGGCACGCAGTCGTTTTTTGATGCGGTTGGAGGCTTAAAGAGCACGTCTAATAGCCCAGAAAATACGTTATTACTTCGCGATGCCATAGTAGCCGTAATGCTGCAAATGGTGAGGCTTTGTAGTTTACAAAAGTCGTACTAAGGCTACGTTCAGACTGCAGCCTGAAGTGACCCAAAATCAGATTTTTTGGCTTCTATGTTCCTGTATCCGATCTTTTAATGACAGTCTGAACCACACAGATCCGATTTTTTCAAATGTGACCCAGGACACTTGGATATGTGCTCCTGAAACCGATACATATCTGATTTTTTGACATGTGACTTCAGTGTGAACAGCCAAAGCGCTTTCATCCGACCTACACGTCATCAACAAGTCACAAACGTCACTATTCTGCGCTGAAGTAGATGAAAATTGTTAATGAACTCCATGTCACTGAAGTGAAGCACATCACCACTCACCACTCTTGGCTCCGTCTCCACATCCACACGTTCCTTTCAACGGGCGTCGCTGCCGTTGTCCCACAAAACACCACGACCAAAAAACCTCGTCCTTCTCCTTCTCAATCTCCTCCTTAAAACAAGTAAGTTGTTCATGTTCTGGCTCCGGTACCAGAGGAACTTTAAAATCTCCAGGTGCTCGATGCTGCGTCCATGTTTGGACAACTTCTGTAAACACAGAGACGCTCGCTGCGGTTGACGTCGTCGTGTCTCCAGTGTCACATGTGGGACACTTTTGGGCCGTTTAACGTTCACACTGGAGATCACATACAAGTCGCATTTAATTGGAAATGTGAACGACCTCACAAAAACATCGGATTTCACACAAAAAAATGCGTTAAGCCCTGCAGTCTGACACCCCAATAAATTCATATATAAGGAACGCAGTCGTTTTTTGAGTAAATTAAAGCCTTTTAAGTGCGCCCTATAGTGCAGAAAATACGGTATATTTGGGCCATTTCTCTCCTTTTCTGGAATATTCTTATTTATTTAATCATCTCTGACAATTACCTAAACCTTTTCCGCTACACAATATGCTTTTTTTTCTTTTCTTTGTTGTGTTGTGTTTTGAAAATTCTGCAAATTCACCAAAGTTGGGGACTGGAGACCTGTGTCTGTCTACGCGACTGGCTGTTTGAATGTTGTAAATAGAATAGGCTAAGTTAGCGGTAATATTAGCCATTGCTGCTAACGCTAATCGCGGTCGAAGCAGTATTGGAGCCATTTTGTTTTTACGGAGATTGCTGTCCATTATGCAAATGTATTATTTTTTAAGAAATGCTATTGTATTGTAAATATTTATGTGAATATTTTTGTATCATCTTAATGCGTTTTGTCGTTTTTAGTTGTTTGAATCTAACCACAAAAAAGCGGTTATATGTAACAGTTAATTAGCCACCACATGCTAACAAACGTGCACTGTGTAACTTTTTTAACAGAGGGTTTACGCCGCGAGATTTTGTTGTTTTGCCAAAAAATATGACGTAACTACCTAGTTTTTGTTTCATTTGAGGTGTTTTATTGGTGAAAAATACCTTCTGAGAGCGGGCTTGCCTCTCCACAGATCTAGCCCGTAACTTCGCCTCGTATCCATGGAGACCGATGTGTTTAAAGGGGCCCGTATTGCGCCATTTTCTGATCTATGTGATAATGTTTCCTCGTCACAAACAGACCTGGAGTGGTGTGTTTTGTTTCATTCACACATCCTGCGTGTTTAGGCTGAAAACACTCTGTTCCACCTTGTGATGTCATGCGGTGATACAGGAAGTGCTCCACTGTGTTTTTAAACTCCACACACCTTCACTAGAATCATTTGGGTAATTTCAGCTCTGGAATTGCTGATCTCTACTAAACTAAATAAAAGGTAAAAGGAAACTGTTAACTTGATATCTACCTCTTCATGACATCACAAGGTGGAACAGAGCGTTTTGAGCTTTAGAGATGTAGACAGACTAATGATAAAGAGTTACTCAAACATGTGAATGAAACTAAACACAACTTTTTGAGAAAGTAACAACATTATAACATGGCTAAAAGTTCACAAGAGTAAATTTTGTGTAATATGTGACCTTTAACTATTGACACTAGAACAGGAAAAAAACACAACTAACCAGAACTAAAACCAGGAGTAAAATCATGTCTAAATCAGGTCTAAACCAGGACTAAACCAGATCTAAAACCAGAACTAAAACCAGGACTAAGCCAGAACTTAAACCAGAATTAAAATCATGTCTAAACCAGGTCTAAACCAGGTCTAAACTAGGACTAAACCAGGACTAAAATGATGTCTAAACCAGGTCTAATCCAGGACTAAACCAGATCTAAACCAGAACTAAAACCAGGACTAAGCCAGAACTTAAACCAGAATTAAAATCATGTCTAAACCAGGTCTAAACCAGGACTAATATAGAACTAAAACCAGGACTAAACCAGAACTAAACCAAGGACTAAAACCAGACTAAGCCAGAACTTAAAACCAGAAGTAAAATCATGTCTAAATCAGGTCTAAACCAGGACTAAACCAGATCTAAAACCAGAACTAAAACCAGGACTAAGCCAGAACTTAAACCAGAATTAAAATCATGTCTAAACCAGGTCTAAACCAGGACTAATATAGAACTAAAACCAGGACTAAACCAGAACTAAACCCAGGACTAAAATCATGTCTAAACCAGGACTAAACCAGGTCTAAACTAGGACTAAACCAGGACTAAAATTATGTCTAAACCAGGTCTAATCCAGGACTAAACCAGGTCTAAAACCAGGTCTAAAACTAGGACTAAACCAGAACTAAAACCAGGACTAGAATCATATGTAAATCAGGTCTAAAACCAGGACTAAACCAGGATTAAACCAGGTCTCAAACTAGGACTAAACCAGAACTAAAACCAGGATTAGAATCATATCTAAACCAGGTCTAAAACCAGAACTAAACCAGGACTAAAACCAGAACTAAAACCAGGACTAAAATCATGTCTAAACAAGGTCTAAACCAGGACAAATCCAGAACTAAAACCAGGACTAAACCAGAACTAAACTAAAACCAAAACCAGAAGTAAACCAAAACTAAAACCAGGTCTAAACCAGGACTAAACCAGGTCTAAACCAGGTCTAAACAAGAACTAAAACCAGGACTAAAGTCATGTCTAAATCATGTCTGCGAAATGTTGTCAAAAATAAAACCGGTCCTTGGCGCACAAAAGGTTGAGGACCACCGCAGTAGAACATTGTAGAAAAAAGCGGCACCACCCTCCTCTAGAAATGTTCCACAGTGCACCTTTAAGACAGATTCAAAGCAATACAGCATTTTATTGTACCATAATTTATTGTTTATGCGTTCGGTCTTGCCATTTTATCCCCCAGCGTAACTATTTCGTCGAGACCCAAATAATCAAAACCGTTTTTATAGGAACCCACGATATTTATATTTTGTCGAGATGTGTCTTTTTCTTAAGAAACTGTAAACTCGTATGAATTTTTAACCTTTTTTTTTTGTTGTTGTTGTTTTTGTTAAATTATTTTTTATTGTTGAAAAGTTTAGGGCTAGAATCGAGTTTATTCTAATTTCAACTCTGCGCAAAATTCTGGTTTTGTTACTGTAAAAATGTGCACTAATAGCATACTTACTTTTGCATTTTATTGTTATAGTTATTGGAACGCTGTCAAAAGTTGCTTAAGACGTTGATACGATTAATTTTTAAAGACTTTAAAGGAGCTGTATGTAATCTGCGATCTTATTGTTTTTTTAAAAAGGTATTACAAGCACAAATGAACCTGTCCAGAGCCTAATAATAACAGAAATCATCATGTCCAACGTTTTTTTAATTAAGAATAAATCAGAATTACAATTATTATCAGTAAAAGTTATATGTTTATATGTTTACCTAGTTTCAGTGAACGCAAACGTCATGTTTATGAAATTTAAAATCAAAATCTTACATACAGTTTCTTTAAAGTCAACCCAAAAATGTTAAGTTGATCATTCTTAGGGGCAACTTTTTACAGTGCAACTAATACATGCATCCCAAATTTCGGACTTCGGGTCATCGCGCAATGCATGCTGGGAAGGATCGTCCGAAAAAGTGAGCATCAAATTGCCGTGTTTGATTTCCCAGTGCGATGTGGGATGTTAAAGTCGATCTTTTCATGTCTTTTGAACCATATCGCTTTTGTTTTTGGTTCTGATGTTGTCATATTTTAGTTTTGGGATTCGAACATCGTAATTTTGTGATTGTTGGATCCTAACAGCGGAAAACTGATTGAGAAATGGGCTTCGGAAATTTGCAAACTCTGTATATGCAAAAGGGAATCAGATGTGTGTGTCTGCAAACCTCCGTTCAAACTGTTTCCCTTCCCAACGGAAATGAAAAATAGTGAAAGGTGAAGGCGATGGGCAGGACTGATCCACAGGAAGGACCAAAAATTAAACCTTTGGCTGCCTAAGAAATCATCCCCAGTGGATCGATCCCTCGCTCAACCTTGGTTACGAATTTAAAAAGTCAACGCCAAAGCGAAAGGCACCAACTGTTCGCCAAGAAACACCTTCCAATGCAAAGAGACCAAGACGTGATGTTGCTGTAAAGTCGAACAAGAAAATGTGAGCTCAGTCTGTTTGTCTTCTGCACCTCTCGATTAACAAACGGGATTTTGCTTTGTTGTCGCTCCACATACAAAATGTTCTCTGCAAACTCGGGATGATTTAGGCAGTCAAAGGTTTCATTTTTGGTCCTTCCTGTCGATCAATCCTGCCCATCGCCTTCACCTTTCACTATTTTTCAGTTCCGTTGGGAAGGGAAACAGTTTGAATGGAGGTTTGCAGTCACACAGATCTGATTCCCTTTTGCATTTGTGGAGTTCGCAAGCTTCCGAAGCCCATTTCTCGATCAGTTTTCCACTGTGAGGACATCAAACAACCACACAATTACGATGTCCGAATCCCAAAACTAAATACGACAATATCAGAACCAGAAACAAAAGTGATATGGTTCAAAAGACTTGAAAGACTTTCCTTTTTCGGAGGATCCTTCCCAGTATGAATTGCGCGACGACCGGAAGTCCAAAATTCAGGATGCATGTATTAGAAACATCTTGTTTTTAATCGTTTTATAATCCTACAGCGATTCTCAGTTCAACTCTTGCCATTTGGGTCCTTTTCCCTAGACAGATAATTGTGAATGAAGTAAAAATAATAAACAAAAATACAGTACGGTTTGGTCTTGAGTTGAGTTTGACTGGAGCCCGTAATTGTAATTCGATGCAAAAGTGTAAATATGTAAATGAGATATAGAGATGTGAACTCAGATCTATTCGTTTTAATAGGAATGTGCAGTGTTCCTTCACAATAAAAGCCGGAGACCCTTTCAGCATAAAACGCCTACACATGCAGAGACTTATTAGCAAAGTCTCGATGTTTCTTTTATAATAATTTAAGGATTCTTCCACATATGTTTGAAATAAGGAGGATATGTTTTATTTTTATTTGGTATCATCTGTATTCGTCATCCTTAAGGTACTTTTTCATAAATTATAATATTGAGGAAAACTTTTAGAGATTTTAAAAGTAGTTGCATTTCAAAATTTACTAAAATTTTGAAAAATTATGGGATAAAAAAATAAAGTAAAGACATTATTGATTAAATCAAATTAAGACAAACTGGGTAAGAACCAGGACTGAACTAGGTCAAAACCAGGTCTAGAACAAATCTAGACCAGGTCGAAACCAGGTCTAAATCAGATCTAGAACAGGTCTGAACCAGGTCTAAACCAGGTCTAAACCAGGTCTAAACCAGGTCTAGAGCAGGTCTAAACCATGTCTGAACCAGGTCTAAACCAGGTCTAAACCAGGTCTGAACCAGGTCTAAACCAGGTCTAAACCAGGTCTAAACCAGGTCTAAACCATGTCTGAACCAGGTCTAATCCAGGTCTAAACCAGGTCTAAACCAGGTCTGAGCCAGGTCTAGAACCTGTCTAATCCAGGTCTAAACCAGATCTAGAACAGGTCTAAACCATGTCTAAGCCATGTCTAAACTAGATCTAGAAAAGCTCTAATTCAGGTCTGAACCAGGTCTAAACCAGGTCTAGAACAAGTCTAATCCAGGTCTAAATCAGGTCTAAATCAGGTCTAGAACAGGTCTATCCCAAGTCTAAACCAGGTCTAAGTGCAAATGGGTCTAAACTAGATATAAATATTAACCTAAATAAAATCAAACTACTTAAATTAGATCTAAAACTTACTAAAAAAGGTCCACTATGTAACTTTTCTGTTGGGGTCGAGGGGTCTCCATGGTGATTGCCAGGAATATCCCACAGTATGGCATTAAACATGTCAAATCCTGCATATATTCAACTACAGATGTTTTTGTTCTGGTGGCACACGCTGCTTGTCTCTATAGAAAGATCAGTTTAATGCCGTGCTGTGGGACATTCCAGGTAAAGCGGTAACATCTCCATGGAGACGAGCAGGTGCAGGATTTAAAGGGCCCGTATTATGCAAAATTGACAGACCTGGAGTCGTGTTTTGTTTCATTCACACATGTTTGAATAACTCTTTATTTTTAGTCTGTTTACATTTTAGGTCTAATCCAGGTCTAATCTAGATCTAGAACAGGTCTAATCCAGGTCTAAATCAAGTCTAAACCAGGTCTAAACCAGGTCTAAACCAGGTGTAGAGCAGGTCTAATCCAGGTCTAAACAAGGTCTAAACAAGGTCTAGAACCAGATCTAAACCAGGTCTAGAGCAGGTTGTCTATACCAGGTCTATACCAGGTCTAAACCAGGTCTAAACCAGATCTAGAACAGGTCTATACCAGGTCTATACCAGGTCTAAACCAGGTCTAAACCAGATCTAGAACAGGTCTATACCAGGTCTATACCAGGTCTAAACCAGATCTAGAGCAGGTCTAATCCAGTTCAATCTAGACTAAACTAAAATACCTTGACATGATTTTGGTGTGAATTATTTCCATCATAATCCCAAGAATTAAAGATAAAAACATATTTCTTCATGTTGTCTGCGCTGAAATGAATCATGGGAAATGTAGTTCTGTATGTTTATTAGCTGTTCCCACTAAAGAACAATGCATTTATGCAAAGGAACAGCCCACGATATTTTTGTGAGACTTCGGATGATACGATATCACGATATGCAGTTTTTGTGTTTTAAACTTGTGTGAATGAAACAAAACACAACTCCAGGTCTGTTTGTGATGAGAAAACATTTAAATATATATCAGAAAATAGCATAATATGGACTTTTTAATGAGAAAAGTTACATAGAGCTCCTTTAACACTTCAATTTAAATCTTTGTAATGAAACTACTACAATTATTGATCTATTTCTTATGTTATAATTTACTTTTCATTCACCTTTGTCATTTTTTTTGCATTTCCTTTCTCATTTAAAAGGTGCTAATCATAACTATTGACAAAAGGCTCGATACGATTGTAAGCAGTTTTACACTTTTTGATATAAACTCTCTCATTCTGTACAAACTCTGAGCTGGACAGAAAATAAATGAAAGAATTGTGTTTTTTAGTCTTGCAGAACTGTAGTTAGATCTATGATGTGGCAGCCTCATATTTATCTAATAAATATGTATTCAGAGTACGCCTGTCATCAAGTCCTTTTGTTGCATCAAATTTATTGCATATATAAAAACTATTTCAGTGGCAAACCGTGGACCTGGACCCTGGGCCTTCACTAGGACCAACTGCTGGCTATCATGACATCATTTATATATAAAAAAAAAACTAAATGAAGCTTATTTCATATATTTCTTTAACAATTATTAGCTACTGTTCAACAAGCTCAGTCCTGGCTGTGGGCTCCGAGCTCTGGTTCCCGGGTCTTTCTTCTCCTTCTTTCTGACATCCCCAACACGTCCAAACAGAGGCGCCCAGCATGTTTTTTGAGGCTGCGGTCTCGCTTATATTTGCTATCACAGGGTATTCACCATGGATCTATTAAAATAACTGGAGGGTGTTGCTGCTCGTAGCTGCCTCCAGTCGACGTAGAGACACTCACTGTAACTTCAGCGGAAAAAATTCCCTGGGCCAAGACAAGATTTTTCTCGTAGAGCACAATGTAATCACAAACTGCTCGTGTTCGGCTGACAGGGACCTACAACTTTCAAAAATGTCGGATTTGTTGGCAATTTTTACCTATTTTTAGATCATAAACTTTTTCTCAGCTCAAAACCCTTCAGTTGTCTTAAAAAACTCTTTATAATCGTTTACTCCGGCTACACTCTGCTCCTCTGAAGTTTGCCTAACAAAAGTGCACAAATGCATCTGTGTTTGTCACGATGTGCGTTTGGTTTGGTAAATGTGCAGAGGCTGGTAAATATCACTGCAAAACCAGAAAAGAATGCAACTCCAGTTTGGAACTTTAAAAAACAGGTTTAAAAATCTTCCTTCACTTTTTTCACAGTTTTGTGTAAAGTGCCAGAGGAAGTTCTCTTAAAGAAGAGGTTCTCAAACTGTGGGCGAGGGTCCAAAAAAGGGGCACAGAGTGTTTCAGTGCAGTTTGCTTGGCTTTGTATTAGGTAGATCATTTTGACTTGGTCATTTTGTAAGTAGCTCGTGTGCTGAAAAAGTGTGAGCACCCCTGCTGTAAAGTATCCAAAGCATCAGACAGCAGCAAAATATTCATAGAAATCACATATGAACTCTGAAAACCCCTGCAATATTAAATTATTTGTGTAGTCTTGTTTTTTTTTTTTTTGTTTTTTTTTTTGTTTTGTTTTGTTCCCTTTTTGCCTTAACGTCAAGAGAATTTATTTTATTTTATTTGAATCTATTTTTGTCCAACTTGCGTCTTGTATATTTGAAGTTACTAATTAATAATAAAATAAAAAATAAAATAAAATAAAATAAAATAAAATAAATAAAATAAATAAAAATCTATCACCAAATCTCGCGAGACTTGCCAGACGCACTTCCGCTTACACAACCCAAACTTCCGGCGCCGCGGTCCTGAGCTGCAGCGTGACTTTGGTGCGTGTTTGGTCCGAGTCCCGCCGCTTCACTGAGCCTCGTCAAACTGTGAAAATGCTGCTGATTTCGAACCGGACCAAACTGTGCTCCGTGCTCTTCACCGCGGCCCGCCTCTACAGCGCCGGCCCGGCTGCAGCCAACAACAACCCCGTGGTTTACTTCGACATCTCCGCCGACAACGAGCCGCTCGGACGGGTCACCTTTGAGGTAACCCCCGGTGTGCAGCCCCGGAGCTCCCTGAAACATGCAACCAGCAGTGTTGGGAAGATTACTTTTAAAATGTTTTCCCCTACAGATTAGACGAGGATATTTTCACATAAGAAGTTTTGTCTGCTTAAAGACAATAATAAAATCAGACTTTACTGAACCATATTAAAAAATATTATTGATAGAAGAAGAGGAGACACGGTCCATGCAGCATGATTTAGTCCTGTTGAATCCTGTTTTAGACCTGGTTTTAGTCCTGGTTTAGACCTAGTTTAGACCTAGGTTTAGTCCTGGTTTAGACCTAGTTTTAGTCCTGGTATAGTCCTGGTTTAGACCTAGTTTAGACCTAGTTTAGGCCTGGTTTAGTCCTGGTTTAGACCTAGTTTTAGTCCTGGTTTAGACTAGTTTAGACCTAGTTTAGTCCTGGTTTAGACCTAGTTTAGTCCTGGTTTAGACCTAGTTTAGACCTTTTAGACCTGGTTTAGTCCTGGTTTAGACCTAGTTTAGACCTGGTTTTAGTCCTGGTTTTAGACCTAGTTTTAGACCTGGTTTTAGACCTGGTTTATCCCAAAATGTAAAAACAGGACAATATTGCCGTGTAATCCATTTATTTCAACAAAGTAACTGTAATCCAATTACCGCTCACTGAAACAGTAACTGTAACGGAATACAGTTACTCATAATTTGTACTCTGATTACATAATTCCGGTACATGTAATCTGTTACTCCCCAACACTGGCAACTAGTGATTTTATGTTATTGGGACCAGCTTTTAAAACATTATAAACTGGGACATACCTGGATTGGGATGGTTGGTTTAAATTAAAATGTGAGAAGAGCAAAAATTGTCCATTCTCAACATGTGGGTCAGTGTCATATCATTTGAGGAACATTTGGGTGCAACAGGATGCATTTTTTTTTAATCTTATGATCATTTTTTAGCTTGGTTTTCAGTATTTTAGCTAAACAAATGACAATATTCTCCTCTTTATTGTTGCCAGGTATTGAATTTGTCACAAAACTGGGACATCTGGGACATTTCTTGTATGAAACTGGGACAAATCAATTGTTTTTGGGACAATTGACACAGGGCTCACAACTGGGACTGTTCCAAGTAAATAGGGACAGCTGCTGGTCAGCCTAGGCAAAAGTGTCTGATTTCTACTGTCTTAAAAACCTGAAAAAAAAACTGCTCAAACAGGTACAGCTGGTCACCCCACCTTATGTCCTTCTTTTCCCACAAATTTACACAATGGCCCACTTTTGCGTGAGTCGTAGTGCGAGTTACAAAAAGTTAAATGACGTGACAATATATACAGTATAAGGACAATACACACACCGGCTTACGCTTCTTCAGTCTGTTTCATTCTGACAGGCGCTTCAGGTCCACACCAGCCAGAACAAATAGACTTAGGGGCAACTTCTTTCCCAAAGCTGTTTGTACTGAGAACTAGGGCTGGGTATCATTAAGAAGTTGCCGATATGATACACAGGCCACGATACGATACAAATCTCATTACAGTTCACTTTTGATTCAGTGCGATAGATTTCAAATCGATTCAATACGATTCAGTAAAAAACAAAGGCTAAATCGTGGCTGTGATACTAAAAGTCTTTGTTAAACCACTTCTTGTGCAAAGTTCATATGAAACACAAATATTTTAATCATCAAAACTGTGAAAATGTCACATAAATGAGTTTCCTTCCTCTAAACAAACAACAAAACTGTAGCGTTGTAACAAAATAATTCAGGAAAATAAACCAAAAAATACTCTTATTGCGATATATCAATACAGCAGTCCCTGATATTGATACTGTATCATAACATTTAATAATGCGATACATCAATATTTCATATATATTTTTGCACACCCATACTGAGAATTGTTCATTTGTTTGGTTGTTTTTTGCACTTTGAAGGAGCAGTGTATAATGACAGTAATAATATATGTATTTTCTTGCAAAGAAATTCAGACTTTGAGAGTAAAATGTTCTGTCTTTTGCTATTCCGATCAATAAAAATGCAATGGTGTTATACTGTCTTCTATTAAAAGTGTACATTCTAACCAGAGCCAAAACCATTCATATTTGAGAAAAGACTGAAATATGTTATGAAATAATAATTTAATACAACAATCACATAAGTTTCAGAAAATCTTGCAGCCCTTTTAATAGATTTTGTTCTATTTTTACGTGGTCACGCTACATGCGATACTGCTTTAATTGTCCAGTGTTTTGGATGACATTTTATACTTCAGGTGTTTAACTTTTCTTCCTGTATCTTTACAGCTCAACGCAGAAGTTGTTCCCAAAACTGCAGGTGAGACATGCCCAAACAAATAACACTGACTGATAATTGTAGTGCACTCAAAGCTCATCAGGAACAGTTTGGTCTAAAAATAAAAAAGCAGTATACTACAGCAAAAATAGAAACTAGTTACCATGAAACTTACCAGGACTTTGCAGGGTATTTAAAGTATTTCAGGCTTGTTTCTACTTGACCAGTCCAGACATTTACTACCTGTTTTATGGCCTGAAGAGGACCATTTTTAACCAGGCTGAGCTAAAATATGCAAAGCAGTTTTATTCAAAGTGTGATGTTTAAAAGTCCTATATTATGCAAAAGTTACTATTGTGAACGAATGTTGTTACCTCCCCAAAAACAGACCTGGAGTTGTGTTTTGTTTCATTCACACATGTTTTGAGTAACTCTATTATTAGACTGTCTACATCTCCAAACCTCAAAATGCTCTGTCCCACCTTGTGATGTCATTTAGTGGTAGGTTTCAAGTTAACGGCCGCACCTTTTACCTTTTGTTGGGTAGAGATTGTCAATTCCAGAGCTGAAATCATCCAAATGATTCTAGTGAAGGTGTGTGGAGTTTAAAAATACACTGGAGCACTTCCTGTATTTCCACATGAGTTTTTTAAATAACATAGGTCAGAAAATAGCGTACCGTATTTTCCAGGCTATTAAACGCGCTCTTAAGCCTCTAACCCCATCAAAAAGCGACAGCGCGCCACAATCCAGAGCGCCCTATACACGAATCCACTCGGGTGTCCCAGCACGACTTCAGTAAACTACAAACACCAGCAGCGCACGCAAACACACACGGAGCAGACAGCGACCGCACAGCGAGAAACACCCACCGACACACTCATCACTCCACGCCGACGAGGAACAGAACGGAACGGAGGAACGAACCGAAAAAGCGAGCGCAATGTGCCACTTCTAGACACGACTGAACAACTGAGTCACTGCGAACACGCCGACAATCCAGCGATCCCAGACAGCACCCTCCCTACACGCCACAACTGAACAAAGCCCAGAGTCACCGTGAACGAACAAACAAACAAAACCACTCACCCATCACACTGTTGTGTTTCCTTTAAAGTCCGGTGCGGTTTATTGGTGAAAAAAGTTCGAAAATAGACCATTTAATGACAGTGCGTCTTATAATCCAGAGCGCCTAATAGTGCAGAAAATACGGTAATATGGTCCCTTTAATTGTCACATTGTGGACTAAAAGTTGTAAATTATTTTTTTGTTCTAGAAAACTTTCGCGCTCTGTGCACCGGAGAGCACGGGTTTGGATACAAAGGGTCCATCTTCCACAGAGTCATCCCTCAGTTTATGTGTCAGGTAATTATTTAAATGGAAAAATGATATATGGACACATTTTTATTTAGTGCTTTTCCAGCTTCAAGGCACTCAAAGCCGTTAATGGACTTTCAAAACGTGCACTATGCTGTAATTGCGCCAGCTACTATTACAACTCGTGTGGTTTTATTTTTTTCTCTCATGAATCATAAATGAACTATCGTGATTTTTTTTTTTTTTTTTTTTTTTTTTTCAGGGAGGAGATTTCACAAACCACAACGGGACTGGAGGAAAGTCGATTTACGGGTGGAAATTCCCAGATGAGAACTTCAAGCTGAAACACACTGGACCAGGTGCATTTTTACTCTGCAAAAAGGAAAAAAAAAAAAAACTATTTGAATTTATCCTTACTGTTATTCAACATATATGAAGTAGTTCTCAAACTTTGGTACACAGATTCCCTTTTAGTTTGGAGTACAGTTGTCAGAATGACTGAAAATCAAGTCGTTAGGGTTAGTCCTGTAGCAATGGTGTAGTCCTACTTTAGACCTGGTTTAGTCCTGGTGTAGACCTGGTATAGTCCTGTTTTAGACCTGGTGGTACTAAAGGCTGTTGGTGTGTGAAATATTTATCACTGCAGTAACGCTTTTAAAAATAGGGTTTGATTTACTGCTGCCACATGACCACCAGATGGCAGTAGACCTTCACAGTAGTATTTGCAGTGCACCATTTACTTACTAAACTTAAATCTTTAGTTATTCATATTTCCTTTGAGCCACAGATATCAGAGTCATTATAATTAAGTGGCACATATTCTTGCAAGTCCTTAAATCTCTGTAAAGGAGATTTTAGCCACTTCTGCTCCTTAAACTTTGGTATTTGTTTGAAGGAATCTTGTCGATGGCGAACGCTGGACCAAACACCAATGGATCCCAGTTCTTCATCTGCACCAGTAAAACAGAATGGTGAGTTAAAACACAGAAAGTATAGGGAAATTAGTCTACATTTATATTCATATTCTTATTTCAGATTTTATTGATATTTGAGAAGTATCTCTAATAACTTATTTTTTACTTAACTGTTGCTTATAATGTTTACATGAATATATAATTCTGTTGTTGCAACTTTCTGTTGTATTTTTTTTAACTACACAAAACAACACAGATCTATAAAACAAATTATCCCTGTTTTTTGATTAGAATTTTTGGTGATAAATGTTTTATTAGTCTAATTCAGCGGTGTCAAACTCAAATTCACAGAGGGACAAAATGAAAAACTGGGACTAAGGCTGCGTTCAGACTGCAGCCTGAAGTGACCCAAATCCGATTTTTTGGCTTCTATGTTCCTGTATCCGATCTTTTAATGACAGTCTGAACGACACAGATCCGAATTTTTCAAATGTGACCCAGGACACTTGGATATGTGGTCCTGAATCCGATACATATCTGATCTTTTGACATGCGACGTCAGTCTGAACGGCCAAAGCGCATCCATCCGACCTACACGTCATTAACAAGCGACAAACGTCACTATTCTGCGCTGAAGCAGGCGGAAACCGTAACTGTAAAATCGTCAGGTGCTCAATGCTCTCGACCGTGTTTGGACAACTTCCGTAAACACAGAGACGCTCGCTGCGGTTGATGCATGGGGTTGACGTCATCGTGTCTCCAGTGCACATGCGGGACACTTTCGGGCCGTTTACCGTTCACACTGAAGTCACAGACAAGTCGCATTTAATTGGAAATGTGACCGACCTCGCAAAAACATCGGATTTCACAAAAAAATCGGAATTGAGCGTTAAGCCCTGCAGTCTGAACGTAGCCTAAGTCGTGGGCCAAACTAAATATTTATTGAAAAATTTCAACAACATCTGTATGTTTTTGCTTCTTTTAAGATGCATAATGTTAAACCTTTTCTTATTAAAATAAATGTTTAATAATAGTTTTGCTTAAACACTGAATCCAGAACAAGCAGAATATAAAATAATAGCAAAACTTTTACCATCTGTAGCGGGCAGGCATCTCTCATAAATGTTTGATATGATCTCATGGGCCAAATATAATTATATCTCGGACCAAATTTGGTCCCGGGGCCTGAGTCTGACATCTCTGGTCTAATTGTTTTATTTAGATTATAAGGATTTATATGGGACAACAGCAGAAAGGAGAAGAGAGTGAGTTTGAAGATTTAGTATTTATATATAAATGCAGATTATATTCATGGTTCACAAGTTTAATTTTTCTTTATATAAATTCATTGTTTCCTAGTCCTTTTTTTCCACATAAATATTATTTTTTCATGAGCTCCCCCTGCAGGTGTAGACGTGTGAGTGCAGTTTGGGTCAGCTACAGAGATGCACAATACTTTTTAGAGCTTTTGCCACGCCCAATTTTTAGCCTACTCTTTTTACTTCAGACTACAACCCGAGTTAATGACAGTTGGAGTTGGAGGTATTTTAAACATTTTTTATTTTAAACATTTTTCCACAAACTCCCACTTAATTGATGTAAAACGATAAGTACTGACCACATGTACTATCCCAGCAAACCAAGTAATAATTAGAAAACCATGAAAACCTCTCATTCTCACTTTTAACATCATATTTTAACTTGAATTGTTGAATTGTTTTTCACTTTTGATAAACGTTTTCTCTTTCTCCAGGCTCGATGGAAGACATGTTGTTTTTGGCAGCGTGAAGGAGGGGATGGAGGTGGTGAAGAAAGTGGAGTCCTACGGTTCCCGCTCTGGGAAGACCTCAAAACGAATCCAGATCATGGACTGCGGGGAGCTTAAGTAAAGACTGGACCTGGTCTTGGTCTTTAGTCCTGGTCTCTAACCCCTTTGCATTTACAATATATTTGTTCTGGAGAGCAAATATATTGAAATGTTTCAGTAACACTTAAATAACTACACTTATGTTTTGATTAATTAAGCATTAAACTAAGACTAAGACAGGTAATGGAACCACTATTTCCTAAATACTTCAATTACAGGTATTTTTATTGTTCAAAAGTACCGTATTTTTCAGACTGTGAGTGGCTCCAGAGTATAAGTTGCACCAGCCCAAAAATGCGTAATGAAAAAGAAACAACAACAGAAGTCACACCAGACTGTACGTTGCACTTTTTGGGAGAAATTTATTTTATAAAATCAGAGACCAGGAACCGACATTTCATCTTAAAAGTCAAGTTGTAGTAAAAACAATAGAAGAGAGAACAACAGACTGTTAACGTCACATATGAACAGTTCTTCAGATAAACTATAACATAAACAACAGAACAGAACAAGTTTAACAAACTCTCCATCTCACTCCAAATCATTAAATCCATTCAATTCTTCATCCTCGGTGTCACTTCTGAGCAACTCCACGACCTCCGGAGGTAAACAGAGCGTCGCTTCCTCTTCTGTGTCGCTGTCGTCAGACTCAGCATCAGTTCCAATTAGAATTATTCCGGCCTTTCTGAATCCCGACAGGATGGTTTCAGTGTCACTGAAGTCCAGGCTTTGTCCATCCATCCAGTGACTTCAGGAAAGTTTCATGGTGCATCCTCCCGGTGTCACAAGTTTCTCACTCACTCCAAACTTTCTTTCTGCTGCTCGATTACCGTTTTCGGCTGAATATTTCACGACTTGCAGCAGGACAGAGACTCTTTCCGCAGTAGAGCCAAGTGACAGTGGTACAGGAAGAACAGGAGCAGCAGATACTGACACACAAGACTAGAGCCTCTCGCCGCTTCAGTGTGAAAATTTGAATATATAAATCGCAGGACCATCCAAACTATGAAAAAAGTGCAACTTATAGTCCAAAAAATACGGTAATATGAAAGAAAAATGTGCATCTTTAATCCACAGATCTGACCTGTAACTTGGCCTTATCATGTCACCTGCTTGACTCATGATGTTTAATGCCGTATTGTGAAACCTTCAAGGCAAAGCAATAATATGGAGACATGGAGACAAGCAGGTTACACAGTGCATCTTTAAGTCTAATTAAAGTGTAGTTTTTAAGTGGTACTGATGTTTCTTTTGGGGTCTGGTCTTGAGCCAGTCCAATGTGAAAAAATGAGCTTCAGGTGCAGAGTGAGACCTCGCTAAACTAACAATTATTGTAATTATGGTCAGTTTTTTTAAATGGTACTTGACTTGAGTTACTTCTTTAATAAATTAGTTGTAGCAGAAAATTACGTAATATATTGTGAATGGAAAAGCAGACAGGAATATTGACTTGATAACTTAACAAAAATGGAAAAAGATAACGATATAAGGAATATATTGCAGATTTTTTGTAGAAAAATGGTTCATTGGTCTGTTGTCCTCTATAGAGACATGCCTTAATGAGATATAATATAGATTAACTGAAATTAAAACTTGTTGATATGACAAAATACAAACATACACACATTTATCAGTTATGATTTTAGATTTTGGCTTATCAAAACAAATAAAAACACTTTCAGTACTGATTTCCCGAACACAAACAATACAGACTTTTAATTATTGCAACTTATCACAAAAAGTCACGTTTCATAATTTCAAAGTCTGAATTCTGCTCCAAATCAGATGCTTTTACTGACAGAGAATTGCCTGATCATTGACAAATAAAAATGACTGAGCCTCGATCTTGATTAAAATTTAAATAATTATCCTTTTAGACCTAATTGAAATGAATTCAAAAACATTGTTAAACAAGATCTAGTCTAGTCATAGTGGTACTGACTTACAAAACTGCTGCTTTAGTCCTGAATCCTGATGTAGACTTTGTTTGGTCCTTTGCAAATCACGGTTCAGTCTTGGTCTAGGCCCGGGTTTAGGCCCAGGTCTGGTTTCAAGTCTGTTTGAGGTCTAGTTCCAGGTCTAGTTCCACCTCTAGTCCCGAGTTTAAGCCTAGATCTAGTTCCAGATCTTGGTCTAGGTTTAGTCCCACCTCTAGTCCCACCTCTAGTCCCACCTCTAGTCCCACCTCTAGTCCCATATTTAGGCCCAGGTCAAGGTCTAGGCCTAGGTCTAGTTCCTGGTCTGTTTCCAGATCTAGTTCCAGTTCTGTTCGAGGTCTAGTTCCAGTTCTACTTCCAGCTCTAGTTCTGGGTCTAGTCCCAGCTCTAGTTCTGGGTCTAGTCCCAGCTCTAGTTCCGGGTCTAGTCCCAGCTCTAGTTCCGGGTCTAGTCCCAGCTCTAGTTCCAGGTCTATTTCGAGGTCTAGTTCCAGGTCTATTTCGAGGTCTAGTTCCAGGTCTATTTCGAGGTCTAGTCCGAGGTCTAGTTCCAGGTCTATTTCGAGGTCTAGTTCCAGGTCTATTTCGAGGTCTAGTTCCAGGTCTATTTCGAGGTCTAGTTCCAGGTCTATTTCGAGGTCTAGTTCCAGGTCTATTTCGAGGTCTAGTTCCAGGTCTATTTCGAGGTCTAGTTCGAAGTCCATTTCGAGGTCTAGGTACAGCTCTATGCCCAGGTTCCAGGTTTCATCTCAGGTTTCATCTCAGTTTGGTCCTAATTTTGAGAGTTTACACTTGATGATTCATATTTTATGCCTTTTATTTACATTTTTGTATCTTGTAACGCCTTAAAGCTCACTGACGGACATTTGTACCTTCAGTTTTACTCCTGTCTGCTTCTCCACGTCTGCACGAGTCTCTCCTAAACACAAACACAAAACAAAAACACTGGACGATGACCATGTGACCTCATTTCAGACAAATAAAGGCACTTAACTTTGCCAAACGAAATGTGAACTTAAACAGAGAGAATATATTTCAAGGGCTTTGTGGATGAAATAAAGATTTTCTATGAAACAAAACTTGTGCACTTTTCATTTTTAATTTTGGGATTTAAGTTTTATAATCGCCTCTGCAAATCTTATAATAATTGAGTTTCATTTTAGAGAGCTCATATTATTCTTTTTTCTGATCTAAGCTGTTTTGTTTACTCTTCAAAAACATACCTGGAGTAGTGAAAACATTCAGTTCCACCTTGTGATGTCATTTTGTAATACACAAAGTGCTCCATTGTGTTTTTAAACTCCATACATCTTCATTAAAATACTGTAATCTGAATAATTTCAGTTCTGGAATTGCAGATGTCTACTGAACAAAATGTAAAATGTAGTTAACTGGAAAACTGCCACTAAATGACATCACAAGGTGGAAGAGAGCATTTTGAGCTTTGGAAATGTAGACAGACTAATAATAAAGAGTCACTCGAACACGTGTGAATGAAACAAAACACAATTCCAGGTCTGTTTTAGAGAAGGTAACAGCATTAAACCATGACTTTAAGCTCACAGGAGTCAATTTTAGGTGATATACCCAAGGTTCCCACGGTCATGGAAATCCTGGAAAAGTCATGGAAATTGAAAATGTCATGTTCAAGGCCAGGAAAAGCCTGGAAGCGCGAGTTCGGGCACCAGCCAATCAGCGATGAAGCATACATTCTGTGTTGGTAACAGTTCCTGAGATCGAGGATTTAAAGCCAGAACAAAGAGAATGTTTGGTGAATTTTATCAAGGGCAAAGACGTTATTGTCCTTCTTCCTACGGGATTTGGGAAAAGCTTAATAGCAGCTGCCAAATAGCAGCGACTGGTTAAATTAAAAAAGTACCCGCCTACTCTCGAGTGAACGAATCCTAATGTTGTGAGGTCAGACAGTTTCTACAAAGTGAAACCGGCTGATGAATCAGGCTAGGAACATGGACCAAAAAGTCATGGAATTTTAGTATTTCTTTCACCCAACAACAGCGTTCTGTTAAGTTCTCATGAGACTTATGATTATTTCTGAACGTCTGCATCTTTTGTTTAAAAGAGACGACAATAAATGCATTGACAGTATTTTGAATGTTAAAAAAATATAATACCAAACCATAAGGTGAGTGGACAGATTTACCATTTTATATTTAGCTGTAAAAGTCTGATCAATTCTACACATGTAGGTGCCATAAAGTCATGGAAAATTCACTTTATGTCATGAAAAAGTTCTGGAAAAGTTTTGAAATTTTGTCAGTGAAAAAGAGCGGGAACCCTGTATACCACAGGTGTCAAACATAAGGCCCGGGGGCCAGATCCGGCCCTCCAAGACCTTTAATCTGGCCCTCGGCAGATTTTCTACTAAAATATTTTAATTATATTTTCTATTAAAATCTTGGTAATTTTCTGTGGTGTTTATCACAGCAGCGTCTCCAGCGTCTCTGTACGTGGCCCCTCCCACCAGAGCAGCACAAATGAAGACTTGTCTCTTTCCAAACGCTCTTAAAGGACGATCGTTTTGACTGTCGACCGTGACACCCTCATCAGAAAAATGTCCAACATGAGAAAAGTGGAGCCGAGTGCAGGATTTTACAAGAAAAATTGACTTATTCCTGTTTGCACACAAGTTAATGTTAAAACATTGTGTTGAAATTGCATTTTTCTTAAAGTTTCAGGTTGTTCATGATATTATAATATTTTGTAAAAGAAAGAGTTCATCAATTAAAAAAAGATTTCTGTAATAGATTTGTGTTTCTCTGCACAAATATTTGAACTTATTGTTATTTTTGGGGTTTATATGACATGAGTTTTCTGATCCGGCCCCTTTGGGATCAAAGTTGGTTGGATACAGCCCCTGGACCAAAATGAGTTTGACACCCCTGCTGTATACCTTTAATTTAACAAAGGTGTAAACTTTTCAAATATAAAAGTTTTGGAAGTGGTACAAAGATTTATAGGATTAAAGCAGGTGGAAGTTTTTCTAATACATATTACATTACATTTTGGTTTTATTCTTGAAAGGACTTTGAACTCGATATCCATATGCGATTATTTCAGGTTTACCATAAATAAATTATCCCAGATGTTTTTTTTTTTACAAACAGAGGGTTCAGTCTGGAGTTGAAATTCTATTAAAACCATTGACAGATTTGACTTGACTGAGCTGTGACACTGAGCAGCTGGATTCAATCAGTTTTAGAACTTGTCAAAGGGGGGCGCCATTGTCAAAACAACATGTCAACACGAGCGCTAAAATCACACAAGATGTTTTTGGGGAGAGGTGCCTGTTGCAGAGGGAGAAGCTGGGTTTAATTCTACCAAGTCTTCCACTGATGCTTCGCAGTTTCAGCACATATGGGGGTGTTCTGCGTGGATGTGTATGGCAAATTGTTGTTCAGCCATTTCCACAGTGGCACAATGCACACATGAGCGAATACTGACATTTTTATTTTTCAAGATTTTAAGATTTAAGTGTGAAAAATGCAAAGTGGTTTTAAATAGACCAGTTTTCCCATGCATCTTTGCTTTGTTAGTTTATGATTAAAGGGCCCATATTACTCATATTCAGACATTTTGTTTGAGGAAGTTGTCCTTTTACCCTCTAGATTAGAACCATGACGACACTGTTCTATCAAACTTTTATGTAATCAGTTTTAATTTTTTCACTGGTCTCATGGTTTGGGAGCTTCTCTGCTAAAAACAAGAACTCCCTGAAACAGTCGGTTAAATGTGCGAGTGAGGTGATTGTTCCTCCTCAGATCAGCCTGGACTCTACTCAAGACACTTACAGAGAATGTCCCAGAGGATTTTAAAAGACGTGCAGCTTCCACTAAACTCAGAGTTTCAGCTGCTTCCTTCTGGTCAGAGGCTTTTAGTCCCAAGATCTAGAACAAATCGTTTTAAAAGGAGCTTCGTTCCAGCTGCTGTTATACTTATGAATAAATTGAAATCTATTTATCGAGCGTAGCCTGATTCGTCAGCCAGTTTCACTTCGTGGAAACCGTCTGACCTTGCAGTATTAGCATTCGTTCAGTCGACGGTAGGTGAGTACTTTTTTTGTTTAACCAATCGTTGCTATTTGGTCATGATGTATGTAATGTGCCACTAACGAGGCTAACTGGTATATAAAGCTTTTCCCAAATGTTTAACGTCTTTCCCCTTGATAAAATTCACCAAACATTCTCTTTGTTCCGGCTTTAAATCCTCGATCTCAGGAATCGGAACACAGAATGTGTGGCTCTTCACTGATTGGCTGGTGCCTGAACTCACACTTCCAGGGTTCTTGCGAACCCTCTAGTGTATTCTGATTCCTGACCTAATCACTGGAAAGAAATTAAATTGAGCCGAGGCACTAGGTGGCGCCAGCCTGACGAAGCCAAGTGTGAGGGATAAATTAAATTAATTATTTATGGAACAAAGCCATTCTGCAACACTTTATTTTGTAATTGTGCTTTTATACGTGTTTATTGTGCATAATGTGGATGAATGAAATGTGAAATGTAGGACCAGCCGCTCAAATCTGCAAAACAAAATTATCTGCGAGTTCAAATAACAAATAACATTTAACACACAATCTCTGCATATTTAGCCTGAGTTCATCTCTCAAACGGAAAGCACTCTGTTCCACCTTGTGATGTCATGTGGTGATACATGAAGACCTGTGCACCTTCACTAGAATCATTTGGATAATTTGCCATCTCTACTGAACAAAAGGTAAAAGGCAGCAGAAAACTACAGCTTCATAACATCACAAAGTGGAACAGAACATTTTTAACCTTGGAAGATGTAGACAGACTTATTATAAAGGATTATTCAAACACGTGTGAACTCCAGGTCTGTTTTTGGTAACGTAACAACATTATAACATGACTTGATCATCACGGTATAACACTGTTTTTCTCCTTTCACTTGTCAAAGTGGACGGATAAAAGATCACCTAAAATAACTTGATATATTTAGCTAATATATTTAAAAACACACCTTAAACACATCATGGTTTTAAACATTTTATTGGTTGGCACATTGCAAAAGTTTTGAAATCCATTAGACTACAGGCCTAGTTTTAATACATTTTAAAGTAACATTTCATGGTAAATGGTCATATTTTTACATAGCGCTTTTCATTTCAAGGCACTCAGTTTTACAACAAGGACCCACTTACACATTCACACACACAAACACACACACACCTGCATACACAGACACTGGGGGCGAGGTGGGTTAACTGTTTTGACCATAGACTGTCTAAAGAAGTGGACCAAGGAAGTGCGGCTCCAGTCAAATGAAGCTCATCGAGGCTCGCAGTTACAAGGTTAGACAAAATAGCAAAAAAAAACAAAAAAAACAACATTAACTACAAAAAAACAGGATCACGTAGACGGGTTAATACCAACATTTTAAGACCAAAATGACGAGTCTCACAGCAAAAGTTACAGAGAGAGGATTGACAATATTCCAAAGTAAATCAATGGAAGCTAGAGTCAGTAGGAGCTAGGAGTGTGCAAAGGAAACTCGTTTATGTGACACATTTGACATTTTTACTGTTTTGATGATTAAAATTGGCTTTTTCCATATGAACTTTGCACAAGAAGTGGTTTAACAAAGACTTTTAGTATCACAGCCCTGATTTAATCTTTATTTTTTACTGAACTGCATCGAATCGATTTGAAATACAATACTGCTCAAAAGTTTTAGAACACCCGAATTTTTCGAGATATGTATCGTATCATGGTTTATGTATCGAGAATCCGTGTTCATTCGTTTTTCAATAAAATAAAAAAAAGAAAACGAAAAAAACAGCGATTTTCTTCATTATTTGTCTCCAAAACCAAAATGAAAAAACAGACAACGGTTAGTTTTTTCAGTTTTCGATTTTGTGTTTAAATGAATAATGGAAAAAATGGATAACGGCCGTTTCCCGTTTACGTGACTTAAACTGCGATGCCGGACTTTTGTGCCGCATATGGACCGAACCAAGACTAAACCAGCACTAAACCAGGACCAAACCATTTTCAGTCCTGGTCTGGTCCCAGTCTCAAACCTGGTCTCAGTCCTGGTCTGGTCCCGGTCTCAGTCCCGGTCTCAATCCTGGTCTCAGTCCTGGTCTGGTCCCGGTCTCAGTCCCGGTCTCAATCCTGGTCTCAGTCCTGGTCTGGTCCCAGTCTCAAACCTGGTCTCAGTCCTGGTCTGGTCCCAGTCTCAAACCTGGTCTCATTCCTGGTCTGGTCCCAGTCTCAAACCTGGTCTCAGTCCTGGTCTGGTCCCAGTCTCAAACCTGGTCTCAGTCCTGGTCTGGTCCCGGTCTCAGTCCCAGTCTCAAACCTGGTCTCAGTCCTGGTCTGGTCCCGGTCTCAGTCCCAGTCTCAAACCTGGTCTCAGTCCTGGTCTGGTCCCGGTCTCAGTCCCGGTCTCAATCCTGGTCTCAGTCCTGGTCTGGTCCCAGTCTCAAACCTGGTCTCAGTCCTGGTCTGGTCCCAGTCTCAAACCTGGTCTCATTCCTGGTCTGGTCCCAGTCTCAAACCTGGTCTCAGTCCTGGTCTGGTCCCAGTCTCAAACCTGGTCTCAGTCCTGGTCTGGTCCCAGTCTCAATCCTGGTCTCAGTCCTGGTCTGGTCCCAGTCTCAGTCCCGGTCTCAGTCCCAGTATTAGTCCCAGTATTAGTCCCGGTCAGGTCCTGGTCTCAGTCCTGGTCTGGTTCCGGTCTCAATCATGGTCTGGTCCTGGTCTCAGTCCTGGTCTGGTTCCGGTCTCAATCATGGTCTGGTCCTGGGCTCAGTCCTGATCTGGTTCCGGTCTAGTCCTGGGCCTGGTTTAGTCCTGGTCAACTGACAGAAACCGGGAAATGGTTGTTATCAGTTTTTTTTTCAGTTTGGTTGTCTATAGTTTTCTTTTTGTTTTCTTATTTTTTGTTTTCTATTGAAGAATGAATGAACGAACGATACATGTATTATCGAGATATGTATCGTATCGTGGCTTAGGTATCGTATCGACAAATTCTGAATGACGCCCAGCCCTAGTAGGAGCTGGAAGCGCCTGCATGCAAACATACTATCTGGAGCATGTCGGCGAGTGCGTTGGAGCTGTTTACATACACACAGTCTACGCTCTTGCCCAAGGACACGACAACAGCCTTCGTCTTTGGGGGCTGGAATCGCACCGCCAACCTGTGGGTCAGTGGATCTGGATCTGAACACTCGACCTATTATGACTTTTGTTATGTCGAGAGCGGGATTCGAACCACCAACCTTCAGATCGGTGGGCAAACACTCGACTCTACTGTCACTACTGAGTCACTGTGAGGCACTTTTAAAACACCGGTGAATTACAAAATAAGCATAAGTGTACAAAGATATGACTTATTACAATTGCACAGTTCTTCAAATCACAAACAATGTCTTTTATTCCATTATATTCAACATTATGTACCATTAAAAACTATTAGGCTAATACTGCATAGAGGATACATCCAAAACTTGCATATTTTACACATAAAAGTACGTTATTTCAGTAATATACAGATTAACCAAAACGCTTAATACAAAACTTTATTTTAAAAGTCCTTCACAGTTGCGTTCAGAGTTGAAAAAGTTAAAAATAAAAATACACAATTGCATTTTTAGTCTTAAAGTTGCACCGCGTCGCGTAACATTTTCTAGTGGAGGGTCTGCCGCCTTGATGTCACCATGGAAACAGAATGTTCCACAGTGTAGATTAAACCTGTCACAAGAAAGACAAGCAGATCACAGCACTGCGCTACATTACAGTTCAGATCTGTGGAGAGTCGCCCCATTCACAGAAGGAAATACTGTATTTTTTGGACTATAAGTCGCACCAGCTAAAAAATGTGTAATGAAAAAGAAAAAAACATATGTAAGTTGCACTTTTACGGGGAAATTTCTTTTATAAAATCAGAGACCAGGAACCGACATTTCATCTTAAAGTCAAGTTCTAGTAAAAACAATAGAAGAGAGAACAACAGACTGTTAACGTCACATATGAACAGTTCTTCAGATAAACTATAACATAAACAACAGAACAGAACAAGTTTAACAAACTCTCCATCTCACTCCAAATCACTAAATCCATTCAATTCTTCATCCTCGGTGTCACTTCTGAGCAACTCCTCGACCTCCGGAGGTAAACAGACGTCGCTTCCTCTTCTGTGTCGCTGTCGTCAGACTCAGCATCAGTTTCAGTTAGAATTATTCGGGTCTTTCTGAATCCCGACAGGATGATTTCGGTGTCACTGAAGTCCAGACTTTGTCCATCCATCCAGTGACTTCAGGAAAGTTTCATGGTGTCACAAGTTTCTCTCTCCAAACTTTCTTTTAGCTGCTTGATTACCATTTTCAGCTGCAGATTTCTCTACTTGCAGTTTGTAATCTGCGAAATCCGAGTTTCTTTTTGGGGGCATTTGTGTTCAGTTTTCTCAGTGTCTTTATAAGTTTGTTTAAATGTTAAATTGTTCAGTGGTGCAGAAGTAACGGTGCGATCGACTGACATGATACAGACAGGACAGATGCTCTTTCTGCAGGAGACATGCGCAGTAGAGCCAAGTGACAGTGGTACAGGAGGAACAGGAGCAGCAGATACTCACACACAAGACTAGAACCTCTGGAGACTTCAGCGTGAAAATTTTTAATATGTAAATCGCACCGGAGTATAAGTCTCAGGAAACACCCAAACCATGAAAAAAAGTGCGACTTATAGTTAAAAAAAATACGGTATTGTGTTTTTGAGCAATAGAAACACCTGTAATGGATAAATATTAGATGGAAGAGTTTAAAGTCACACCACGGAACATTCCAGGCAAAGCAATAATAATTCTGTAGCAACAGTTTGGCAGACCCTCCATCGGAAAAGTTACGCAGTGCACCTTTAACACCACCAATAACATAATAAGGAGATATAGGTGAACAAATTTGAAAAATGTAAACTTGTTTCTATAATCTTTGACTTTTTTTTTTTTTTTTTTTTTCATTTTACAGTTGCATTTTTTATAACAAACACAATAAACGCCTTTCAAATATCATATAATACACAACCAGTTCTTGAAATATTGTAAACTGTTAACACTGTAGTTTATTTCTGTACAAACATTTAGACTTTTTCTCAATTCTTCTCGAACTTTGAAGCCAAATATTAAAACATAAATCTGAAATTTTATTGCAAAAACACAGTTAAGATATTTTCCAAAATCATTCAGCTCTACTCAGATGTCAAACCATGTTATTTTTGGTCGAGTATTGCAAATTTACAATATTTTTACTTTGCAGCTGATGGCATCAACATTGCCTGGGGGTGTGACGCTAACTGAAGGCACTGCTCTGTCTGAGGCTCTGTTCGACTTTAATGTGAGCTTTATTTTAACACAAAGACGACTTAGGCTACGTTCAGACTGCAGCCTGAAGTGACCCAAATCAGATTTTTTCGCCCCTATGCTCCTGTATCTGATCTTTTAATGACAGTTTGAACGAAACAGATCCGATTTTTTCAAATGCGACCCAGGACACTTGGATATGTGCTCCTGAAACCGATACATATCCGATTTTTTGACATGTGATTTCAGGCTGAACGGCCAGGTCACATTCATCCCACCTACACGTCAAGGTCAGAGTCTCGTCAACGAAGGAAAAGTGAGGTTAACGAGTTTATTAATATTTGGGGGAATCACTATATTCAGGCCAAATTGGAGGGTTCTTATCGGAACCGGGCGGTTTTTGAAATTACCAAAGAAATATTCGAGCACGACTAAGATGGTCCTGACTCCAATATAAAGAGCCTGTGAGCCAAATACAAGGAAGATAAAGACTCAAACAAACAAAGCGGCTGTGGACGTGTAACCTGTCCATTTTACGATGAACAGGGCCGTATTTTGGGAGACAAGCCCAGCGTTTAGGCGACTTTCGTAAACACAGAGCACGCTCGCTGTTTGTGACGTCGTCGTGTCTCCAGTGCACATGCGGGACACTTTTGGGCCGCTTAATGTTCACACTGGAGATCACATACAAGTCACATTTAATTGGAAATGTGAACGACCTCGAAAAAACATTAGATTTCACAAAAAAATCTGAATTGAGCATTAAGCCCTGCAGTCAGAACGTAGCCTTAGTTGGAACTACAACAGGTGAGCCAACACTTTCTCAAAGTCACTCACCTTTTTATTGAAAATCAAAGTCCTAAACGAGACCATGAACGCTCGTATTGATCTCAGGCTCCTGAAAATGTCTGAGTTTTCATCTTAAAACCTTTTTTGGCAGCGATAATAAATGTTTCCATTGTGTCTCCATGGTAACTGGTGAACATTTCCCCAATACACATACATGTAGAGCACCCACAATGTGATGTCATGGCAAAGTCTCAACTAATCCTGTGTCTTGAAGTACAACTAACAAGACCTTTTTGATTGATTTGAGTAATTAAAGAGATATTAACAACGAACCAGGTCAGAACAGACAGATAAGTACATTTTGGGCAGATGTGTCACTGGTCTCGTCTGCAGTAGTGCCCCAGGATCTTGCACTTTTCACACAGATGTTGAGGATGTTCTTTGCTTTGGTCTGACACGTCCAGTCCGTCCGGTTTCTCCAAGGGTCTCTGCAAGAAAATTGTGTAATTATGTATCTATAGTTTTTATCTAAATTAAAGATTAAATCAGGTTTAAAGCAAAACTGGATTTAACCCACAGGACTCACAACAAGGAACTAAACCAGGACTTGATCTGGACCATAAAGGACTGAAACTGAAACAGGTCTAAACTCCCACTCAGCCAGAATTCACCAGGACTCAACCAGGACTTGATCCAACCCAAAAAGGACTGAACCAGGTCTTAGCTAACTGTCAACTAAAATTCACCAGCACTCAACCAACACTGAACTGGGTCTAAACTATTATTCAACCAGGATTAAATCAGGATTTAAAGTCCAGGTCAGATCCTGGACCAGGACTAATCCAGGACTCATCTAGGACTCAACCAGGACTAAACACGGACTACTATATACTGAACTAGGTCCATGTTTAGTCCTGGTTGAGTCCGTGCTTAGTCTGTGTTTAGTCCATGTTTAGTCCTGGTTGAGTCCGTGTTTAGTCTGTGTTTAGTCTGTTTTTAGTCCTGGTTGAGTCCTGGATTAGTCCTGATTTAGTCCTGATAACAAGGACCTGACGCAGGACAACCAGGACTAAACATAGACTCAACCAGGACTAAACACAGACTAAACAGGGACTCAACCAGGACTAAACACGGACTAAACAAGGACTCAACCAGAACTAAACATGGATCAACCAGGACTAAACACGGACTCTAGGTCTAAACTATTACTCAGTCAGAGCTAAATAGGTCTAAACATTCAATCAAGACTGAACCAGGACAAACCAGGTATAAATCAAGACTAAACCAGGTCTAAACTGGGACTAAACCTAGACTAAATCAGTACTAAACCGAGACTAAAACAGGACTGAACTAAGACTAAATAAAATAGGTCTAAACCATTCAATCAGGAATGAATTTGACTAAACTAGAACTAAACCAGGCCTAGAACTTGATCTAAACTACCCCTCAACTAGAACTAAACCAGAACTAAACCCTGGACTAAACAAGGTCTATACTAGGACTAAACCAGGACTATGTCAGTACCTGTTTGTGAGGGTAGACGTTGATGTGGCACTTGATGCACTCTTGCCCCATATTGGCCCAGGAGTTTCCGCTCATCCACTTCCGTTTACACTTGGGACACTTGTATTCCCCAAAACACCTCTTCTTGCCCTGGTACGGAGTCAGACCGTCTCCTTTGGGCCGAGCCTAAAACCGGAAGAATCCAGGTGAGTTTGTTTTTCCTCAAAGTGCAGAAATTCAAATCTCATATAATTAAAAACAATTGTACGTCCTCTGGCAATTTAAGTGCACGAAAAAGACTTAACCAGGTCTAAACCTCTCAACCAGGACTAACTCAGGACTCAATCAAGATGTAACAACAAGGGACTAAACCAGGACTAAACTAGGTCTAAACTAGGTCTAGACTACTGCACAATCAGGACTAAACCAGGACTAAACTATGTCTGAACCAGGACTCAACTGGGACTAAACCAGGACTGAACTAGCACTAAACTAGGACTGAACTAGGATTTAAACAGGAGTAAACCCAGACTAAATCAGGACTAAACTCGGATTAACCCAGGATTAAACATGGATTAAACCAGGAGTGAACTCGGACCGAACCAGGACAAAAACAAGACTTAAATAGGACTAAACCAGGAATAAAACAAGACTTAACTAGGACTAAACCAGGATTAAACCAGGACTGAACCAGGAGTGAACTAGGACTGAACTAGGACTAAACCAGGACTGGGCCAGGACTAAAGCAGGAATAAACTAGGACCAAACCAGGACTGAACCAATACTGAACCAGGACTAAACCAGGACTGAACTAGGACTAAACCACTACTGAATTAGGACTAAACTAGGACTGAACAGCCCTAAACTGGGACTAAACTAGGACTAAACCAGGACTGGGTCAGGAATAAACCAGGACTAAATTAGGACTAAACCAGGAGTAAACCAGGACTAAACTAGGACTGAACCAAGACTAAACCAGGAGTAAACCAGGACTGAACCAGCACTGAACCAGAACTGAACTAGGAGTAAACCAGGACTAAAGAAGGGCTAAATCAGGACTAAACCAGGGTCTTTATCTTATCACCAGTATGTCTGTGTACTGGTCCGGTCCGTAACCATGGTAATAAGGCAGTTTAATCGTTCACACTTGTATTTCCCGGCGCTGAGAGACGCGGGATCACGGTGAAACTTTATCAGGTTTAAAAACAGTCTGTTTTTTGTCCGTCATCACTTGGCTGAGGCCTGGCCCTAAATATGCCCCTTTAAATATCAGGGGAGCCGTGATGAGCCGCTGATCCGAGTGAAGTCAAAAACCTAAAATTACAAGGCAAAAAAAAAAACAAAAAAACAGTAATAATAACAATGTTTACAGCTGTACCAGATTTTTACAGTTTTAAAAATGTAGAAAGCAGAATTAGTTCTTTTGCAGTGGTCCAAACTTATTCCTCACTTTCCTTTCCTCATTATTTCCAAGGATGAGTTTAAAGAAGCACTTTTCAGAACTCGCAAAGGCCAAAAGCAGGAAAGATAATGACAACTAGCAGGCTAACGGTGCACTTTCTGATTCTCGGACTATAAAAAGCCTCTAATCACGTCTCTCATTGGTCGGTCTCTGAAAGATCCAGAGTGATTGACAGCTGGACTTAAAACGGGAAGAATCCAGGTGGGTTTGTCTAAACCTCTCAACCAGGACTAACTCAGGACTCAATCAGGGTTTAAAAACAAGGAACTAAACCAGGACTAAGCTAGGCCTACGCAACCAGGACTGAACTAGGTCTAGACTACTACTCAATCACGACTAAACTAGGTCTAAATTATGAGTCAACCAGTTCTAAACCAAGACTAAACTTGGACAAAACTAGGCCTAGACTACTACTCAACCAGTGCTAAATCAGGACTAAATCAGGACTAAACTAGGTCTAGACTACTACTCAATCGGGACTAAATCAGGACTAAACTAGGTCTAGACTACTAGTCAATCGGGACTAAACCAGGACTAAACTAGATCTAGACTACTACTCAACCAGGACTAAATCAGGACTAAACTAGGTCTAGACTATGAGTCAACCAGTGCTAAACCAGGTCTAAACCAGGCCTAAACTAGGCCTAGACTACTACTCAATCAGGACCAAACCAGGACTAGACTACTACTCAACCAGGACTAAATTAGGTCTAGACTACAAGTCAACCAGTTCTAAACCAGGACTAAACTAGCTCTAGACTACTACTCAATCAGGACTAAACCAGGACTAAACTAGGTCTAGACTACTACTCAATCAGGACTAAATTAGGTCTAGACTACAAGTCAACCAGTTCTAAACCAGGACTAAACCAGGACTAAACTAGGCCTAGAGTCTAGACTACTACTCAACAAAGACCAAACTAGGTCTAGACTACTACTCAAACAGGCTGCTTGTTTCCATGGATACGTCATTGCTCTGTCTCGAATGTTCCACAGTGTGACTTTAAACAGCTCTTCTTTACATTTATTCAATTACAGGTGGTTTTATTGCTCAAAAATATCTAAAAACGGACATTCTGACTGCGAGCGGGGTCGCCTCTCCACGGATCTGACCTGTAACTTGGTCCGGTTTGGTCTCCATGAAGATAGAAAGGTTTAATGCCATACTGCGAAACATTCCAGACAAAGCAAGAACATCTTCATGGGGGAAAAGTATTTGAGTTGCACAACGCAGCTTTGAGCAATCACAGATCACAGAGAATTTTCCTCTTAAAGACAATAGAAAAATAAATCGCATTGTGTCGAAATCCAAGACAACAGTAATATTTTTTACAAGAGAAACGCTTTGACATCTTATTTACTTGCTGAAATCTCCAAGGTTTTTCTCGTTAGTTCCTCCTCCCTCCCACAGTGGTCCCAGAGGAGACGTGGGGGGGGGGGGTCTCGTTTGTGACGGGGCCAAAACATGGACCCCATATGAACTACTCCCAAACACATGCTTCAGGTTCTGTCTCCCAAACCTCCCAACTGGACCAGAACCCACCAATCAGCAGCAGACAAATATAAAACACATGGAGATGACTCATTGCGCAAGGACGCCATCTTGGTCAGGGCTGGGTTACATTACAAAATTAAAATAAAAAAAGTGTAGAATTTGTAGAGTGGAGGAAATATAATATAGTATTTGATCCCATGATGATTTTGTAAGTTTACCCACTCACAAAGAAATTAACAGTCTATAATTTTAATGCTAGGTTTGTTGGAGACGTGTGGAGACACTTTTTAAAATATTCCATCCAGTCCTTGTATTTGCAGAGGTCACTGGTGTTAGACTAGTGCATGTCAATGGTCATAGTTTTCCTGTCGCTAAAAACAGTCTTACCCGCTCCACAAAACACCCAAAGAAAATCTATTATTACACCAGACTGTCCATGTAAATGTCTCTGTTGACAGAATAATTTTAGAAGTAAAACCAATCTTGCATTTGAAGGATTTATGTCTGAGCAGCAGCAGTGAGTTGTACTTCCTGATAGAAAGCTCGGCAGCGGCGGACTGATATATGAGAAAATAGTCCCTCAACATGCGACGATTCATGTGATGCGAGGTTAATTTTATTTCAAACATTATTCTATCAACACAGACATTTACATGGACAGTCTGGTGTAATAATTGTTTTGCTTCGGGTGTTTTGTGGAGTGGGTAAGACTGTTTTTAGCGGCAGGAAAACTATGGCCATTGACATGCACTAGTCTAACACCAGCGACCTCTGCAAATACAAGGACTGGACTTGACTGGAGGCAATCGAATTACGGAAACGTGCCCACGAGACGATAAACCAGGACGAGGGAGCTTTTTTACTCTCACACATCTGGGATACCTTCCTGCCTCCACCGGTAGGAAGACAGCGCCAAAACCTGAATAAATCAACTGAGCGAACACGTCACAGCGACATCACGTGATTCTGAGGAAGACCACAGTGATCAGTCGAAACTGTCAGGTATGAAAACAAACTCTTTGTCTGAAAAAAGAACCTAATAACATAGAATATCGGAAGACCAAATGAACCTCATTGAACTATTACGCTTTGTTTACTGTTGTGCTGTTCCACAAAAGGGACCCAGACAGGCGCTTGAGTTTGACGTCATTGCTTCACAGCTCTTCAGTGATTGTCTGGTGCGCGGTCTACAACTTCTTGCAAATGGTCTAGTGTATTCTGATTCCTGACCTAGTCGCTGGAGAGAAATTAAATTGAGGGGAGGCACCAGGTGGCGCCAACGTAATTCATCAGCCGGTTTTATTTCGTAGAAACCGTCTGACCTCGCAGTGTTAGAATTCATTCGCTCGGCAGTAGGCGGGTATTTTTTTCATGTAACCAATCGCTGCTGTTTGGTAGTCATGTACTGTATGTAATGCTCCACTAACTGGTATATTAAGCTTTTCCTAAATCCCTTAAGATGAATGACAATAACGTCTTTTCCCTTGATAAAATTCTCCAAACATTCTCTTTGTTCCAGCTTTAAATCCTCGATCTTGGGAATCGCTGACAACACTGCATATATCGCTCTTTGCTGATTGGCTGGTGCCCGAACTTGCACTTCTGGGGTTTTTGAGAACCGTCTAGTGTGTTCTGATTCCTGATCTAGTCACTGGAGAGAAATGAAATGGAGCGGAGGCACTAGGCGACGTCAGCCTGGATATTACAACACGGCCCATATGAAAGCATTCAAATCAGACCCAGCGTGTGTTTAAAGTCCAAGTTTTATGACTCAAGACTTTTTGGCCCAGATTTCAGTTTTAAGAGAAGTTAGTTGCGGAAACTCTACCAGAGAAGTTACATCTTTAACCCACAGAAAGAGACAGAAAGAAAGAAAGAGACATGTCGCCTTTACGTCTCGGTCAAAGGTCTTGGCGCAGTTTAAACTATTGTGCTCTTTAAAGCTGCACTGTGAGACATTTCTAGTACACTGTAGGGTCTGCCGCTCGCTTGTTATCGCTTTGCCTGGGATGTCCCGTAATATGGCATTAAATATATACATCGTGACGCCACTAAGCCCAGATACAGGTCAGATCTGTGGACAGGCGAGCCCATTTATAGTAAAAATGCGTGTGCTTCCAAGGTGTTTTTCTTTATCAGTCGAAATCAAAAACATCTATAGTTGAATAAATGCAAGATAGATAATGCCATACTGTGGAACATTCCAGGCAAAGCAATAGCATCTCCATA